GCATAAACAAACTTGTTGCAGTGTTGCTCAATGGTCAAACAGTGTTGACAATGTACGCTGTTTATCGATAACGATAACGCTGCACGTAACAGCTGATTGCGCTGATGAGTGGCAAATAATTGTTGCTGCCCTTTGGCTACTGGCCCCGTGGCTGTGTGTGTTTTGATCAACGCCCGCCCCCCAAATGGCCACTGGCACCGGCACAACGGAGACGCGACGCCTCTGCGCCATCACCTTCTTTGCCAAACTGCATCCGGGCGATGTCTGCGGCAGCAATGGCCTGCCCCTAACGCCCAATTCGATTGCAATTTTGGGGCGTTCCCAGCGGCTCAAGGAGCTGCAGCATGAGCATTTGTGTCAGTACCTGGACGTGGTGCGCAGCAAGCATGGTAAACGCCAAAGTGACAAGGCCAACTGCATTATTCCCTGCCTGGCATACAATTTATACCAGTCTCTTCTTATTATTTGTAGAGCGCACCATTGTGGTCTCGGAGTACGTCGGCTGCACGCTGGAGGAGCACGTGAAGCGGCAAACGTCGACAAGTCCCGCACAAATGCTGTGCATTTTCCAGCAGGTGGCCAGCGGTCTAGATGTGCTGCACGGGCACAAGCTGGTCGTGCACAATCTGGAGCCGCGCCACATACTTGTGGAGAGCCGCGCGGGAGCTGTGCACGTCAAGCTCTTCAATTATGGCATGCACTATATGACCAAGGGCGGCGCCTATGTGCCCTTTCCCATTGGTAATATACGCTATATGGCGCCGGAGCGTCTGCTTGGCGCCAACGATAACATCAAGAGCGACATTTGGGCCTGGGCCATGCTGCTGCTGGAGCAGCTGCTGCAAACGGAGCTCTGGCCCAAGCTCAAGCTGAGCAACATTGCCTGGAAGCTGTTGGCCTTTGCGCGCAACGCCAACACCGGCGGCGTTGTTGAGAAAATAGCGCGGGAACATCAGCGCTGGGATCGGTATCAGCAGCTGCCGTTGCCCGTGCGCGAGCTGCTCGAGCGTTGTCTGAGCGTGCTGCCGGCACAGCGACCGCTGCCCGCCGAGCTGCTGCAGCACGCCTGCTTCGCAGCGCTGGGCGATCACAGCCAAGCGAATGTCGCGAAGTCATCGCCGTCGCCGTCGTTGCCGTTGCCGCTGCTGCTGCGCTGTCCGCTGGCGCAGATCTATCACCTGTGGCAGCTGGCCGGCGGTGATGTGCAAGCGGAACTGAAAAAGGAGGGACTGATACGCAGCGAGGCGCCCATTTTGTCACTGCCGCAAATTGTTCGATTAAGCGGCGCCAGCGTCTGCCCGCCGCGCAGCCAATCGCATCTGATGGACGAGCGCGTTGTGCTGCTCAAGCTGCAGCCCCTCCTGCAGCGACTCAGCCGCCTGCCCGCCAGCGTCTACTTTCCGCTGCTGCACACGCAACGCCTGCAGCCGCAGCAGCAGCAGCAGCAGCAACAACTGCAGCAACAGCAGCAACAGCAGGAACTGCCTCTGCTCATACGCGAACGCGACATTGAGTATCAGTTCCGGCGCGTACGACTCTTTACACGCCTGCTGCTGGGCTATCCGCACACGGCCGAGCAGCTGCAGCGGGAGGCGGCAATTGATATACCGCCGCTGCTGCGCGGCCCCATCTGGGCGGCCCTGCTGGGCGTGCTGCCCAATGCGAGCTATGCGAAAATCGACAAGTTCACGGCCACAAGCACGGATCGACAGATCGAGGTGGACATACCGCGCTGTCATCAGTATGATGAGCTGCTCTCGTCGCCGGACGGCCATCGCAAGCTGAAGCGTCTGCTCAAGGCCTGGGTGACGGCCCATCCGCAGTATGTCTATTGGCAGGGACTCGACTCGCTGACCGCGCCCTTTCTCTATCTCAATTTCAACAATGAGGGTAAGTGCGTGGCGTTCCCTCAAAGAAATTTAAATGGGATAAACTCTCTTGTAATCCTTTGCAGAGCTTGCATTTCTGAGTCTGTACCGGTTCATACCGAAGTATCTGCAGTGGTTTTTCCTCAAGGATAACTCGGCTATTATTAAGGAATATCTGAGCAAATTCTCACAGCTGAGCGCATTCCATGAGCCGCTCTTGGCCCAGCACTTGGCCAGCATTAACTTCATTCCGGAGCTGTTCGCGATACCCTGGTTCCTGACCATGTTCTCACGTATGTAGATCCTGTCTCCTGTGTTTGACCGACTGACACCAGCTGATGGATTGATTGTTGGACGCCAATACGTGCTTTCAGAAATTTCACCTACTGTGGTGGAATATAGGCGGAATGCAATATGTGGAATATTGGTGGAATATCCATGGATGAAATGTTAATAGAATGCGCGAACATTTAAAACAGATGCAATGATGGAACATTTGTAAAATCCAACCCAAATGAAACGGGTGGAATATAAGTGGAGTAAGAATATTATTGGAATACAACAAATTGCAACATATTTCCACCCAGATGGAATGGTGGAATATTGGTGGAATACCCAGATAGAATGGCGGAATGTTAAATGGAATGCAACTTTTTGTGACATATAAAAAGGTGGACTACCCAGTTGGAAGGTCAATAGAATGCAACATTTTCCACCCAAATGAAACGGGTGAAATATAAGTGGAATCCAACTTTGTAAAATATTCCAACCAGATGCAAAGGTGGAATACTCAAATGGAATGGTGGAATTAAGTTTTTGAAACACGTCTCAAATTGATTTTCACGAAGAACTTTTGTAATTCAGTTTGAACTCAAAACTTCCACCATCTTAACCTTCAGCCCACTTTCACCTAGGCGTGGATTGGCGAAAAGTGTGAAAGATATCAGCAATAAATGTTTCTAAAAGAACTTTGCAAATGAGCTTTAGGCGAATCGGCCGGTAATCAAAACAGTTTCACTATTCCACCAATTTTCCACAGTTGCAGGTGGAAAGCCGTCTAATCAATCAGTCAATCAGTCAGTCCGTCAATCAGCCGGAACAGACAATTATCTATGCATAACTGTATTCAAATGGATTCCATGTTTTTTATGCAGATGTTTTTCCGCTGCATAAGATATTGCATTTGTGGGACAAGCTGATGCTGGGCGACAGCTCGTATCCGCTGTTCATTGGCGTCGCAATACTGAAGCAGCTGAAAAGCACGCTGCTCAGTTCCGGCTTCAACGAGTGCATCTTGCTCTTCTCCGACCTGCCCGACATCGTGATGGAGAGCTGTGTGATCGAGTCGCAGAAGATGTACGAATGCACACCGAAGAGTATCACGCATCGCCAGCACGCGCTGCGCTCGCAGCCGGCACATGTGCTGGACATTGGGCTGGCGGATGTGGAGCTGCGTCATCTGCAGGCGGAGCAGTGTCCACGCATCAGCGCCAAGGATGTGCATCAGCTGCTGATGCAGCAGCCCGAACAGCTGGCCCTGATCGATTTGCGCAGCGTCGTCGAATACGGACGCGTCCATGTGCCGCACAGCATCAATATACCCTTTGCCACAGTGCAGCTGGGCGAACAGCGTCTCGAGGCGCTTCAAGTGCCGCAGCTGGAGGCGCAGCTGCGCCAACGCATTGTCGTCTGCGTCAGCAATATACATCAGCACGCCGTCGAGGTCAGTTGGCATCAACTGGACGCTTAAGCCTCATCGAGTCCATAAAGCATATTAGCTCTTGATTAGGAGGATGTGCATCCGATATCTGTCCGACGGGAAACACTTGTATATGGAGCAATAGCTCGCTCCATTTAAATGATATTTGTATGCACAACTCGAAAGTTCTATGCGAATATGTAAATGTATATACATATAGTAGAGGGTATATATAAAAGATATAGATAGGTAGATAGATAGATATATATATAGTAGATAGATTACGGATTTTATAGCCTTTTCGTATGTATTTACCGGCTGGTCGGTCACCTCCGACTAGAGCACTTTTAACCTGGAAATAATCTGCTTTCGTTGTCTTTGCAGTTCTCTCACTTTTTGGTCGCCTGCGGCGTGCTGCGCACCTGCATCCTACACAAGGGCTTCAATGTCCTGCACTCAATTGAGCCAAATATACTCATCTCGAATTGATGGGGCTTCGCGTGGCTCCATGGCTGATGCCAGTTTGCCTGGCACCCAAACCCAATCCTAGCTTAAGCTCAAACCGCATTAATTCTACTCTTTTTATAATCGTATATATAAAAGATATATATATATATATATATATATATATATATTATGTCTATGTAAATAAGCATATTGTGTGTATTAACCAAGTTTTATAAATCTGCATTGTACTCGATTATACTCGAATTATTTTCATATTTTGAATAGTCTGAATAAGCATGTTCATGTTTTATATCGCCTTCCCTTTCGCTTCGGTAAAATGTGATAGACATACCAAAGCGAAAGGGTCTAGGACTTAAATGGGGAAAAAGGCATCCAATAAATAATTTCTGAACTTCCCAAATTCCCCAAAAATGCCCTAAATTGGAAAAAACAAACTCCCTTATCATTGTCAAAACCAATACGATTTTTGATTACAATTTTATTCGTAATTTTCGCCCTTAATTCTGAAACTAAATTAATTTAATATAATTTTATTTAGAAAAAATATTTTTACTTTTAAAAATAATTTTTTAATATTAGCTTAACATTTGATTATGAATCGATTTTTTCTGTCACTTATTGAGTAACTGTAATTTCGTTAATTTTCCAATCATGTTTTCTTTTAACAATTTTTTTTTAATCTCTTCTAACATTTTTGCTCTCAATCAAATTTTCTTTTAAAATTGAGCAAATTTTAACAGAATCCGCGGCTCAATTTTGCGTTGAGTTCGCTGATTTTGCGTCACTGTTACTGTATTTAACATAAATATTGTTACCTTTTGTGCGTAAATTACGCATTTAACTTGAACGTTTTGCATATGCGCAAAAGTGCTCCGATTTGCGTTAGCAGCGCAGCTTACGGCGCTGTCAGCGTTAACAGCTCTATGTTAGCTTCACGTTGCGCAAATTACGTTTGTTTACTTGGTGGCTCAGTTTGATGAAGTTGCTTCACACGACACGATTAATGTTAACGTAAGAGCAATAAAAAAAAAAAAAATTCAAGAAAAAAAAAGTATAAAAGAGAAAAAGTTCTGCGCGTTGAAATCCAGGTGCGAAAATTGCAATACGCGTAACAACAATTGCGACGCAATGCATTAACTAATTGGCCACGCGTGCAGATGTCAACACACACACACATATGTATATATAACTCTATATAAGTGCATATATATATATATATATATATACAACGCAGTGCCAAACGCAATGAAACAGGTGGGCGCATTTTCTGTGGGGGTGTCTGAATGTATTTTGTGAAATGGAATTTGTACGTATTTTTTTATTGTTGTTGTTGTCGTTGTCGTTGTTTTTGTTCGCTGATGATGTTATGTTTGCAGCGTCAACGTTTTACTTTTTTTCGTCTCTTTTTTTTTTGTGTTTGCAAATTGTACAATACACATGCACATGTGTATGTGTGTGTATGTGTGTATAGGTACATGCATATGCTGATAAAAATGACAACATGCTTTGCCGTAGTGTTTGTGTGCGCAGCAGCTGCGTCGTCAACGTCAACGTTGCCGTCGCCGTTGCCGTTGCCGTCATTGCGCGCAGCATCATAAAAACTATTTAACTGACCAATGAATCACTTAAACGAAAATGATGAAGTCTTTTTGTAATCTCACTCAACACACACACACACACACACACACACACACGCAAACAATGGAGGTTGCGGTGTGGTTGGGGGCCGCCACCACCAGCGCATTTGTTGTTTATGGCGCCCTCATATTGCTATCAACAGACCGCCAACTGATGGCGACGGCGACAGCGCCTGCCGCTGCCGCTGCCGCTGCTGCTGCTGCTGGTGGTTGACGCGCGCGTGCCTGCCCAACAAGTTTCTTATTGGGATGATAAATTGTGTGCGTGTGTGCGTATTTGCAAACACGATTCCAAGATGATTCCTGGGCATATGACGCAAGAGCTTGGCTATTTTTTTTATTTTTTTTTTATTGCATACTTTTCTGTGTGTTAATGGGTCGAGTGTATACATACAGGCGTGTGTATGCGCGTGTATAAGGGGAGAGAGTTGTTATTAATATGGCCGCCTTCGGCTAACTGTTAAGCGACTGAACGGCTGCGGAATGGAGCACATTTAACGGCATAACTCATTACAATTTCAATGCAAATTTTTTACTATTATGTGCGCGCGTGCTTGTATGCGTGCGTGTGCGTGTATTTACATTTGGGTTGATTAAATTTTTGATGAGTGTGTGCCTGAGTATGTGTGTGTGTGTGTGTGTGTGTGTGTGAGGACAACAAGTATCGATTCCAGGCCATGGTTTCAGGATTGCCGCTTGGCCCAAATTGCGCACTAGGCCTAGAGAAAGGGCGAACGCAAATCAAAGCTCTGCTCTGCGGCAACCCTAAAGCGACTTGACGCGACGCGACGCGACGCTCACCAAAGCGACGCTGCTTTGCATAACTGCTGCCAAGCTGACCAAGTGTGTATGTATGCGTATACGTGTATATATATGTGTGTGTGTCTGTATTGGGCATAGAGATGGGACAATTGTATCCCATAAGAACACGAATATTCATTTATTTTTTGTATAAATTAATATTTAATTGTATTTTGCTCGCTTTTCGAGGCGGATCTTGAGCTGATTCGAATTGGTAAAGTTAAAAAAAAAAAAAACATTTCGGAAAGTGAAAGTTGCCGAAAAGTAGTGTTATTTTCATTAATTATAAATTTTCTATTTTTAAAAAGCCTTTTTTTAATATGAATTAAAATTGTTTTTTTTTTCGACACCTTTTAATTGACAATTTTTAAAAAGTTTTTAAACACATTCTGTAGAAATCTTAAATATGTGTACATGTATGTATGCTATAGAAATTCCAAAAATTGGGTGCTTCGGAATTCCGAAGTTTTTGTTACATATGAAATACATTTTAAGCGTCTTTTGTATTTGAATATTTACCACAATAACTATTAGACATTTCAATTAGTTCGAATTCAACTCAGTTTGCATAAAAAACTCAAAAACTTCAAGCTAAGCGGCAAAAGTCAATTTGATGTCTGAGCGTCGGACTAACAAGCGAACAGTCGCTGTTTCAAGTCCGCATTGGTAAAATTTATTATATTTATGCGCCTATAATTTATTTATCGGTTGGATATTTTAAGCAATTTGCACAGAATTGGATTTTCAACATTATTAAATTGATAAAAATGTAAAATATATGCATATAAGTATCGTATATTTAACATTTTAGATAGATTACTATATGTATATATCTATATGCATATATCCCAAATAAGATTTCCAGACTCGTGACTCGTCACGTTTGCGACACGCGCTCCTCTCTAATTGGACATGTACATACACGTTCAAACTGCGCACACACACACACATACATACAGCAGCAGCAGCAGCAGAAGCAGCAGCAGCAGCAGCAAAAGTGTTGAGCGCAACGCGGATGTTCAGTTTAGACTTTCCTTTTGGCCAAATAACGTGCAACGTTTCCTTCTACACAAATGTTTCGCTAACGTAAATGCTTATAACTGTTCTGCATGTGCTTGTGTCTGTCTGTGTGTGTGTGCGTGTGTGCGTGCAATAAATATGTGAACTAAAGCAACACACGCTCATATATAATTTAAACAAAATCAAAGCCTATTGCCAGTAGCTGGTTGGGGGTGGGGGAGGGGCTTGTTTGCCTTTTTGCTTGCTACCTCAACAGATTTGTGTGTCCCTGTGTGTGTGTATGTGTGTGTGTGTGTGCATGGGATTCGTGTCATGTGACCGCGCGCGCAAAAAACGGTTTCACCACGATTCGCATTGTGTGCGAGCCAACGTCCTGGCAGGACACGACGGGGCGCCTCTTAGCGTAAGCATGCGCAATGCGCAGCTACTACGAGCACTCACACTCTCGCACACACGTGCGCACACACACACGCACACGCATACACATGGCACATAAATAACGAAAACTGTGGCAAAACGTTTGCAAATTGTGCCATTTGCTGGCAAAGATTGCAACAACAGCAACAAACTGTAAAAAGCGCTGAGCGCCGCGCGCTATGCAACAGTAAATGTTCTGTTATGTCCCAACGCAAGCAAATAGCGCGCAATTGTCAACGAAAGAGACAGAGAGAGAGAGAGAGAGCGAGAGTGTGGGTGACAGACAGGAAGAGAGCGCAAGAGCGAACGTGCTTCAGCAGGGTTGACAGCGCTCGTGCGCTCTCACGTTGTCCTCGCGTGCGCCAAGCAAGGTGCAAAAAATGCCTTTACAAGCGACGCCACAAAGCTCAGCTTCAGCAGCAGCGTTAGCAGCAGCAGCAGCAGCAGCGCTAGCAGCAGCAGCAGCCAAAGCGCCAGCAGCAGCAGCAGCAGCAGCTCCAGTAGCCAACTAACCAGCTAACCAGCAGCATTTTGTCTCGTCTAACATATCCCCCGTGTATCCGACTTCGACTTTGACTCCGTCTACGTTGTTTCTTCTTAATATTTTTTTTTTCGCGCGTGTGTGTGTGTGTGTGTGCGTGTATTTGTGTCGTTGTCTCGTCTCTGCGTGCGCGCGCGTGTGTGTGTGTGTGAGTGTGGCTTTTTCGAGTGAAAAATCAATTGATACACATATTTTTGTTATTAGTGCGAGAAAAAAAAAAACAAATACTAACAAATATATGCCAAAGATATACCAAATATTTGTGCATGCGAAAAGCACTAAAATACTAAAAACATTAATTGTTTAAGTTTGTTTTTTTTTTCCAATTGTTTTTTTCATAAATTTTTTTTTGCGTGTGTCTTGTTATTGTTGTTTGTCAGCTAGAAAAAAAAATAAATAAATAAATAAAAACGCGCGACAAGGGCGCGAGCAATTTGGATGTGTGCAGGCATCAGGCGCCAAAGCCAAAGCGTATATAAATAAAAAAAAAAAAGAGTGAAAAAAAAGAAGAAGAAATGTAGAGTCAAACCAAGTGAGTAGCAACAAGCAAGCAGCACAGAAAGACACCAACAAAAGAACAAGAAAAAAAAAAAAAAACAATGAAACGTACAGCTATTTGTGTGCATGTGTGCGAAAAATCTGTAAATCGAGGTTATCTATACGTGCAGCACACATACACACACAAGAGAGTGTGTGTAAGAGAGAGAGAGAGAGAGAGAGAGAGAGAGAGAGGCGGAGAGTGTGGGAGCGCGTGTGTGCTCAGCGTCCCAGCGCCAAGCGCTGTTTGCACAACCAACAACAAGCGATGGCATTTTAATCATCATTAGGCAGCTTACACACATACACACACACACACACAGAGGCACACAGACACACGCGGCTGGTTGTCGTCGGTCAGGCGCCGTGTGTTTTGTTGTTGTTGTTGCTGCTGCTTGTGTCCAGGTTCTTTGTGTGTGTGTGTGCGTGTGTGCTTGTGCTCTTTTGTTTGCGCAAATTAAATTTAAAGTATGCCAGCGCGATTTGCTTTTCACTTTTCTTTTTTTTTTTTTATTCTGTTCCTTTCACTGTTGCGCGCTCGTGTGTCCTGGCGCTACACTATACACAGTCAGCGCTTTTGCACGCGTGTGTGTGTGTGTGTGTGCGATTATTCGTTTGTTTGACAAAGCGTAAACAATTGCAAATAAGAAAAAGGCAGCGACGTCGAAGTCGACGTCGACGTCAGCGTTGACGTGCGATGAGTGTGCGAAAAATCGATTTGTGTGCCATCCCAAAAATAAGTGCAAATACACACACACACACACATACATACATGTAGAAACATAACCCATATACCGAGCTTATATGTTGCCATAGGTCTCCCATGCATGTGTGTGTGTGTGTTATGTGTGTGTTGTGCAACATAATGGGGCAACAGCGTTTTTCAATTATATCCATTTAACATTTGACTCTTGACACTGCCCACAGCCGCATTTATCGCATTTACACACACGCACACACACTCGCACACAGTAACCTCATTACCATCCCTCATTGGCATTTCTTTATTGCCATCTCGCTCGCACTCGCCAAAGTCTCTGGCGGCGCTGCTCGTTTTATAGCGAGCACCTTTTCAACGGCCATTGCATTGAACATGAAGAGATGACACTTGAGCGCGGCTTGTGCCAGGCGACAAAGCCGTCATAAACGTTATTGTTCTTATCAGATCGTTAGACGATTTAATTAATTGCCTATTTCCATTTTAATGAAACACTTTTCCGCTCACAGCCGAGATAAACTGGATAAGTGCATTTTGTTTGTTAGCCAGATAGATGACTCAGAGTACTGAGGAACCTTCAGTCATAGAATTTTAAGACAAAATCTGAAAGCGCAATGCGAAAATTATGTTTTAATAACCATTTTGCCTAAAGCAATAAACTATAAATAACTTATATATTACCTGGCGGTAATATCTTTTCGGGTCAAGAGAACTTTTAGTTTTAGTTTAGTTTCTATGCCTGAGAATGAGTTTGTAGCTGAAACGATTTTCCACTTAGTCAAGTGACTCTTTCGAAACGCGTGAAATAGCTCAACTCAGCGCCTTAAAATAAGTTTGTAGCTTATAAAACGATATTCCACTTGGGCAAGTGAATCTTACGAAACGCGTGAAATACATACCTCAACTCAATCCGAATTCACAAAGATTTCTTGTATGTAAGCTACATACTATTTCTTAGGCATTCAAAATAAATGTCATAAGAACTGACAACTGTCTAAGAAAATGCAGCTTCCATCAGCGAGTCAATCAGTCAATCTCACTCAAATGACATCAATTTAGATTTCAGGCATAAATCCAAAAGCTTGCAAGCAGTTTGGTCCGAGCTATTAGAAAGTTCTCCAACTATTTGGAATAGTTACTTACGCTGCGGACAAATTGGAAAAGTGCATTTTGATGGGCTGCCCCGAAAAGTGGGCTATACTTTGTGTGCGCTACCTTAATGCGCCCTAAAAACTATGCTAACGATTTTGTGAATTTTTGTGGCTTGCTTTTTGTGAGCGAAGCGCAATTCCGTTCAATTGTTTTGCCAGTATACGTGAGTGTGTGTGTGTGTGTGTGTGATTTTTGCTATTGCATCATCAGATTGTTAGACACCATTTGTGTTGTGTGTCCATGTGTGTGTGTGTGTTTGTGTGTGCAACCATTAGAGAGAACATGCAACAAAAGTTTTTCAACTAATGCATTTCACATTTTTTGTCCCGCTCTCGCGTTGATTACAGCTCTTAATTCGACTATTGCTAACCTAGTTTCACTTCCCCAAAACAACAAAAACAAAGCCCAAAAACTAAATAAATCAAACGAGGCAGAAGCGAAACAAATTTGCAGCAAGATTTAAAAGACGTTCCCAAATCCCGAAACTCCAAAAAAAAAAAAACAACAACAACATATACTCGCAACCAGAAAAAGAAGAAGCAGCAGCAGCAGAAAAAACAAGCTGCTCAATAAAATCCATTTAAGGCATCCAATAAAATACGAGCAGCAGCAGCAGCAGCAGCAGCAGCAGCAGCGGCGGCGGCGGCATTAGCGGAGGGAGACTCATGTTAGAAAAATGAAAAAGTTCACATTTAAAGGAGTTCTGGATGGATTTCGACAAAGCGTACAGCCGCAAGCCATACGACAGGAGCAGGAGATACTCGAGCAATTGAAGGCCGATCATTTTACACTAAAAAAAGTAAGCGACAAATTGAATTCAATTTAAATTTAAGACTAAGCAATCCGTAGTCCGAAAACCCGTGAAACCCTTGCAGACATCTACAAAACTCATTTAATTGGCAATACTTGAATGTAAATCCATGCTTGTGCGATCTGGCAGCACTGGCACACTATGTAGGCTCATTAAGTTGGCTGCGCTAGAATGTTTCATAGCTGAGAGACTTTGAATGCGTTACCCAATAAAACTTTTGATCGTTTTGGGAGCTTTGCGACATATATGATGTTAGATATATGAAATGGATATATAGTTAAAGCATAATATCGTATTTTATTTTGGAAATATCTGGAAAGTTAGCAAATTTAACTCACTTTGAGCTAGGTTTGTTGAGTTGGGGGAGTTTGATAATGTTCAGATAGTGCTAGGCTTCTGCAAGGGTAAGGCCAAATACATTGATTTACTGTGAATACTATATAGAACAACTGACGTCTGTTGTAGCCAGCGGATGTTTTATTTGGTAGTTGCGCTTTATTAAATCTATCATAAGACACACGCGGCTATAACAGTGCCGTTCAACAAGCAACGTCCTCTGCAAATGCCAAATTCAACCACCTCTCCCAAGTGCCCATTCATTTATTTCTCTATATATATATATTTGTTCTCATATATGTTCTTTACAGACCTTTCGCCATGGCTTTCCATACTCACCCACATCCTTTGCCTTCGATCCAGTACAAAAACTATTAGCGATTGGTGATAAATCTGGCTATATACGCATGTAAGTTATTGCATACTGTAAAGCAGTTTAATAGTTATTTAAGAGATCTGGCAACATGAAAACTTTATGTGCTCATTAAGTTAGCTGCGCTAGCCTTAGCTCTATTATATGACATTTATAAATTACTAAAGCGATCTGGCAAGCATTTGACTTGTTACCAAGTCAATTCGGCAGCTATAAAATGGAATTGTGCAAGCATCTTTGAAGCATTTTAAATTCCACCTAAAGATTTCACTTTGAGCCTTATTCGTTTTTCGAACGATCTGGCAATACCAAGACATTTTATATGCTTATTAAGTTGGCTGCGCTTCAGTATTTTATAGTTCTCCAAAGCTTCGTAAATTAATACGTTACTTAAGCGATCTGGCAACGCTGCAACGTATCAAATGCTCGCTTAAGACAATTTCGAATATATAAATTGGAATTCCTTTTGATAATCGTTTGTAATTTATGTTGTTGCCTTTCTCTAGCTTGGGCCGACCTGGCGTCGATGCGCATGCCAAACACGAGGGCGAATCCGAGTGCGCTGTGCTCTTTGCCCAATTTCTGGTCAATGAGGGTGCCCTGGTCACCGTGACAGCCGACGATACCATACATTTGTGGAGCATACGCCAAAAGACGCCGCTCATTGTGCAGAGCCTCAAATTTCAGCGCGAGCGGTAATTAAACCCCATATCAATCAATCAACTTACATAGCACTAACTACTTCTCTTTCGTCTTCGTCTTTGATTCGTAGCGTCACTTGCATACATTTGCCCGTCGGCAGCAAATGGCTGTACGTGGGCACCGAGAAGGGTAACATACACGTCGTTCACATAGATACATTTGCACTTAGCGGATATATTATTAACTGGAATAAAGCAATTGAAGTGTGAGTATTAACAGTAACAGTGTATCATGCTGTTAAAGCAAAATTGACAGCAATATTAACAGGATTTTGTGAAGTTTTTATTAGAAAGCAATTTCTTTCTATTAACATATTGTACAGCAGTGTACATATTACAGCAGGCATTTAACATAGGACTCTCGCATGTCGAAATGTTATCTTGTTAGAAACATAATATAAGCATTAACAGTAATTGGCTGTTGCTCCCAGCACACTGTTAAGACAATAATTTTACATAATAGCTGCATAATGTTAACATTTAAATGACGTTGTTCTAACAGCACACTGTTAGGGCTCTGGAAACTTGCGTCTAGTCGGGAAATACAGCTGAGCATAGTTAAAACATTACATTAACATAAAAAGGTGCTGTTTCTAACAGCACCATGTTAACCTCGCATTTAACATAACAGCTGCTTTAGTTAACCTTTTTGTACTATTTTTAATAGCGCACTGTTTAGCTTCTGGATGTACAGCTTAACATAGTTAAGTTAACATTATAACATATTAGATCGTCTACTAACAGCATAATTTTAAAGCTCTTATTTGCTTACAGTGCACTGTTAACGCTCAAAATCAACATAACAGCAATCTAAACTTAATAGTTAACTACTTTTTGCGAACAGCGCACTGTTAAGGCTTTGTAAATATGTTTGTTTTCCAGCTGTTTAGTTTAGCTCTGATAACAGCACAGTGTTAACCTTAAAACTAACAGTAAACGACCTTCTGCTAACGGAATACTGTTAAAGCTCTTAGCTAACATAACATCTACCTTAAGTTAACAGTTACCCACACTCTGTTAATGCAACAATCTAACATAACAGTTATATAAACTTGGCAGCTAACATATTTTGCGCTAACAGCGAACTGTTAAGGCTGTGTAAATGTACAACTTTTCTTTTTTAGTTAGAAAAGTGTTTTCAGATATATTTGAATGACAATTCTGATTGCTTTCAGGGTTAGAACTAGTCATCCAGGTGCTGTGATTGCGTTATGTGATAATCCATTGGATGCAAACAAGGTAAAGTGCTAGCCATTAAATTTCTAGATAAACATGATTTATTAATGAAACTTCAATCCCGAATGGCTAAACAGTTGCTTATTGCATTTGAGTGCGGGCTGCTTGTGCTGTGGGATCTGAAGTTGAAGGGCGCGGAGATACGATGGCAGGCAGCCGAGGCGGTTAAATCCTTGGCCTGGCATTACGAGGGCAAATATTTTGTATCCTCGCACACGGATGGCTCGATATGCTCCTGGCCGACCAAGCCGCAGCCCAAGCCCCAGTCTCAAGTTTGTCCGCATGGTAAGTGGCTGGCGATTATTCACTTTTGGGCCGATAATTGATGAGCTTTCTTTTCGATGACATAGCGAAAATCAACAAGGAGGGCAACGCGGAAAAATGTAAACCGATTTATAAAGTTGACTTGAAGTCAAGCGCAACTGGGTAAGTCGCAACCGCCGCTCTCTCCCTCTCCCTCTCCCTCTCTCTGCCTCTCTCTCTACCTCATCTTTGCTTCTATTGTATTTGTAGCGAAACCTTTACAATTTTCTCCGGTGGCATGCCATCGGAGAAGGGCTCAAAGTCAAACTGCATCACAGTCATGGTGGGCAAGACCACAACCGTTTTGGAGATGGAGCATGCCGTTTGCGATTTCATTACACTCTGCGAGAATCCCTGGCCCTGCGGTTAGTCGAGGCACATAAAAAAAACACTTGTCAAACTTATCGCTCGCCTTTTTTCTCTGCAGAAACCCAGGAGCCATATGCGATAGCTGTGCTGCTTCAATATGACTTAGTATTAATAGACTTATTAACGCCCGGTTTTCCATGTTTTGAATCGCCTTATCCAATGGACTTACACGAATCACCTGTTACATGTTGCACATATTTAACCGATTGCCCATCGGATTTGGTTCCTGCTTTCTATTCTGTAAGTATTTTTAAGTAGGCGATAAAGAACCAAGCTAGCTGCTAGCTTTAATAACATGAGGATGATAACATGCGATCAAACATGGGGATACACAAATTGGCATTAACTTTAGGGTTCAGTAGGAGAGGTTTTAACTTTACACTTAAATTAACTGCTGGTTAGCTAACATGAAGCTTGACATGAGGATAAAAATTGGGTTACTTATTGAGATTGGGAATCGTTCTGCATTTAACAGTCAGTTTGACTGCTGAGGATAAAAAAAGGGCCCTGTTGAAATTACAGGTGGATAGTTTCAGACGTAAAACTCAATTTTACTGCATGTAACCAAACTTAAAGTTTGACATGAAAAGAAATTTAAGATTTTATTGGGCTCGTGTTGGACATTTAACTGCTGGTTAGCTAACATGAAGCTTGACACGAGGATAAGATAAGTTCGTATATGAAATATCAGTATGATCGTTTTAGACTTTAGCTACAATTTAACTGCTGGTTGGCTAACATGAAGTTAAACTTGTGACTACTTACACATAAATTAACTGTTAGCAAACATTAAGTTTGACATGAGGATTAGAAGTTTGTTTATATTTCAGTAGATTCGTTTTTCGCTAAACCCACAATTTAACTGCTGGTTAGCTAAGATGAAGTTTGACATGAGGTTTAACGTGAGGTTAAAAAATTGGTGATTCTTCTTTAATAAGCATTACTGCATAACCTTAACAACTATTCAACAATGTTTCTGCCCCTCACCTCTCTCTCTCTCTCTCTTTCTATCTGACAGGTTGGTCGCACAACGACAAGTAAAAAGACGGGCTTCTCGGAACGGGAATGGCCCATTTCGGGCGGCGAATGGTCACCAGCCTCGTGCAGTTACTCGGAAATTGTCATCACTGGCCATCAGGATGGCAGCCTCAAGTTCTGGGACTCGGGCGCTGGCACACTGCAGGTCTGTTTCTATTAGTGATACGCCCTTAACTAACTCGATCAATTTTAATTGGTATGTGAACTGTTCTTTGGCAGATTTTGTACAAACTGAAGACGGCGAAAATGTTTGAGAAGCCGCGTCATGTGAGCCACGCGGACAGCGACAATCCGCTGGCGGTGCATTTGATATTTCTATGCTCGGAGTCGCGACGCCTCTGCGTTGCCGGCGCCATGGGTCAGGTAATGTTGTTCAAATTTCGCAAGGTCGAGTCCACATCGGAGGTGCTGGTGCTGGAGATACCAATACTCTATGAGAACTTTGATGACATCTATGGCACCAGTCCCGAATGCGATTTCCTCACCGGACATCAGGTGCAAAAGACCGAATCCAGCGATTCGGATAAGGTGCGTATTAACTACGATTTCCCAGTCCATATAACTAGATATATATGCTACAGTTACAGCTAGACGAGGCCTAGAGATTCTAGACTTTGCTTTTTCTTTACCTAACAGCTCTCTATGTGCGTCCGATTCTTATAGAATATCTGGAAGTTAAAATAGTTGAAAGGGATTGAGAGAGGTATCGGGTGCCTAATCTGTGTTTATAATGCGACAATCCTCATCCCAAGGTTTCAATCTTCGAGCTTTGCTTGGAAGAATATAATGAAAGAATTTATATTTTAAACTTTCAAGCCTTTTGCTTTTGCGATTTAAGATATACATTATTCATATACTAGAAACACCTTTCGAAGCTTAAACTTGTTGAGAATTGCATAGAAAGGCACAGAAAGAAACAGACAAACGATTTAATTTACTGTATGTACCCTGTAAAGCAACCAAATATCGACTTTTTCTTCATTTAATTTGCCTAATTAAAAAATCTACGACTGAAATATTTCTATTTAACACATAGAATTATGTTTATAACATATTTAACTATTGAAATCTGTTTTATTCCCTAGACGGAGTGCACGCTTAAAGTGCGTTTTGGTGCCCAGCGCAAGCCGCCGGGCTTTCAATCCCAATTGGTTTGCCTCACAACGGGGCCGAATCGTCGCACCGTACAGGTTACCTCGTTGTGCATCAACTCTAGCTATGGCCTGTAAGTAGCATTAGCTCCAAGCCCCAAGCCATGCCCATAAACACACACACATCCCACTCACCCCATAAACACACCCCACACACACACACAAACACACACACACACAAAGAGACACGCGGACCAAAAAAAAAAAGAACATAATATTTAGTGGAGTATTCGTAGTTTGTATTCGTATATTGTGCATGACGTTCTCTGAAAGCGCCTGACTACAAAGTACTTAGAGCCTAGAGCAAAAGCTACCCCTGAACCCCCTCCTTCAATAACACGGACGCAACGCGAGTCCCGCGCACCCGCTTAACTGTGTTTATTTGTTTTTTGCCTTGTTGTGTAGTTGCAACACTTGTCAGCTAGAGCGAGTGCAGGCTGCTACTCGCTACTCGCCACTTGTTAGCGTACGTTTTTTTTTTTTTGTTTTATTTTGCGTGCATTTTCAAGTAGTGGCAGCTGCAACGAGTGCAAGCAAATGCTCGATGTGCGATGCTCGTTACTCGCTAATCGTCACTCGTTAGAGTAAGTTATTAATTTGATATGTTTTTGCATTTAGCAACTAGTTTAAAGCTGCCAGGTGGACTAAGTAGAAACTACTCGCTACTCGCTGAAGAACACACTCGTTACTTTCTGCTAATTACTCGCGAATAGTTGTAAAAGTTGCCAGTTACAACGAGTACACGCAGCTACTTGTTACTCGCCACTAGTTAGTGTACGTTTTTTTTTTTGTGCGCCTTGCAACTGCGCATGGCTGCCGCAGTTTCCGGCTAGAACGAGTACAAGCAGCTACTCGCTACTCGCTTCTAGTTAAAGTCTGTGTTCCTTTCTAGCTAGCTAGAACGACTACAAGCAGCTACTCATTACTCAATGCTAGCTACTCAAGAGTAGTTGCAAATGCTGCCAGCTTGAACGAGTACAAACAGCTACCCGTTACTCGCTGCTCGTTAGAGTACGTTTTGCCTTTCATATAGAGCCCTGTAACCGTGAGTAGTAACAACAGTTACCACCTAGAACGAGTAAAAGCAGTTACTCGTTACTTGTTACTCGCTACTCGTTGCTCGCTACTCGTTTCTTGGCACACGTATTAGAGTACGTTTTCCCTTTGCCTTTGCGTTCTGCTATTGTAGCTAGAACGAGTACAAGCAGTTACTCGCTACTCACGACTCGTTACTTGCCACTCGTTAGAGTTAGTTTTAGTCAAGCTTTAGACTGAATGACAAACGGACTTTAGTGCCTGCGCGTGTGTGCGTGTGTGTGTGTGTGTGCGAAATAAATATAAATATATATAATGATTTTATTTTGATTATCAAGTTTTAGTTATCTGTTTACTCGTTAGTTTTGCGTTGTATTTATTTATTTGGTTTGGTTTTGTTGTATGCCGCTGTTTTGTTGTTGACATGATGGCGTGTTCTTTTCTTTTTCTGTTTTTAGAATGGCTTATGGTACCGAATATGGACTTGTCATAATTGATATAATCCAAAAAATTTGCCTATTGAGTGTTGCATGTCCCGATCTGTATGGCGCACACGATCCTTATTCGCGAACACCAAAAAGTCCAAAACGCATTGAGAGCAAAGAGGAGCAAAGCCGTTCGCCCAGTTCAGATCAGGTAAGTGCTGATTGATCATGATTATGATACAAGAAAACAAGATTGATAACGATTGATGATGATGTTGGCTCTTAAATGCTCAACGCACATAAATGCTTATTGATTATCATTGATTGATCATGATTGATGTAATGATGATGATGATGTTGATTGATCATGATTGATGATGTTAATAATGATAATGCTGTTGCCGCCTTCAATCAGTGACACGCACACTAACACGCACACTAACACACACACACACAGACAGACACACACACACAAACAGACAGATATACACACATCAAGTGTTAGACAAATACCAAATTGATTGATGAAAAATTATATTAAAAAAAAAAAAATACAACTATATTTTAAACCTAAACTCATTTAATTTATATATCTATATATATATATAACTGCATTGATTGATTACGATTGAAACAAGCTAATTTATTGTAGCAAACGCATTTCTTTATTTTTTCTTTAGTTAATTAAGCCATTTTATTCATAAGCCTAAAACGAAAACCCAAAAGAAACTAACAAAAAAAAAAAAAAAACACTTTACCCATTTGCATTTGTCTGGCATTTTGATTGATGAAAATTTACTCACACACAAACTCGAACACACTTCCTTTGAGTTTGCTCCCCTCATTTTTAGTACAAAGACACAAACACACACACAGAGACACACACACACACACACACATATGCAAGCAAGCAACATACAAAATTGTAAAGCCCCTCCCCCCACCCCCCAAAAAAAAATAACATTTAGCTACACATTTTTAATAACATCTACGTAATTTATGCATATAAAACAGTATATAAATATATTTATATATATATATAGTTAAACAATTTGGTAGTTAACAGAAAAAAACTAATTTTAGTAGTAATTTTAGTATTTTTTCATATAGTTCTAAATTTAATGCGTATTTTTTTTTTGTTTGGATTTTTGTTTTGTTTTTTTGGTTAGTTCGTTTTGAAACTGCGTTAGACGCTTGGCCAGCGCCCAAAACTAGCTAAAGCTATAAACATATATCCGTCTCTCTCGCTCTCTCTCTATCTCTATCTCTCTTTCTCTATATACATATATATACATCTCGCTCTCTCTCTATCTCTGTCTGTCTGTCTAAGTGTGCTTACAAGCGCTTTGAGTTCTTTTTGTCACTCGACGAATTCAATTTTAAAGCAACTTTTTCAAATTTAGTATATTTTAAGTATATTTTTTGGTATATCTTTAGCATTGTCAGTATATTTTTGGTATTTTGTGTACTTAATAGTGCAGTCTAGTTTCAGTTGCGCAACCATTTCGGTTTTTTAAACATTTAAAAGCGCGCGCGCTCTTTCTCTCTCACTCTCTCTCTCCTTCTCTCCATCTCTCTCTCTCTCTCTCTCTCGCTCTCTCTCTCCGTCTATATATGTATATCTCTGTCTCTCTCTCTCTTTCTTTTGAATTTAAAAACTTTACTAATTTTGTCCTGAAACTCAAAACATTTTAACGGAACACACACAAATTGTCAGCATGGTAAATCATAATTGATTGATTGATTGATTTATTTAACAAACAAAAAACATTGAACAAGAAAAAGATAAATAACAAGTTGACTTTCATTTAATCTAACTCAGTGTGTGAGCGTGTCTGTGTTTTTTTTATAAATTTTCCTTTGCACGCTGCATCGATTGATTGATTAGCATTGATTGATGATTGATTGGTTTTTGATTGTTGCACACGCTGTCACAACTCACTGCTCGCATCTCGCCACGAAACATCATTGATATGCCATTTGGTTGATTGATTGATTTTGATTGTTTGTATGTTGTGAGTGTCTCTCTCTCTCTCTCTCTCTCTTTCTGCCTCTACCTGTCTCTATCTCTCTGTCTATCGCTCTCTCGCTCTCTTTCAACGAGAAGCCTTAACGTACAACCAATATAAATTAAAAACAACAACTAGCATTTATTTCTCCAATCTCTACTTAGTAGAAACGTTTCTTTGATTGATTGATTGATTGATGTGCGTGTTTAGTGTATGTCTACATGTATGTATGTGTGTGTTAGTTGTTTTTTTTTTTCATTAATTGTGAGGCCTGGCGTTTATCACATACAATATTTTTTCTGCTATCCACCTGAACGACCCTCTACCAAATCCACCAAGATGTAACATTTCTGCCTATCCATCAAAACCAACTTAAATCAAACTAAACTAAACTAAATCTAAACTTCAACCCCTAACAAAACTAAACTAAAACTTAACTAAAACATAAGCTCTACCAAAAAACAAGTGAAACAATTCAACTATTTGTTAAATGTTATGTATAATTGCCCATTGATTGATATTGATTGATGCCGCATCTATAATATATATGTATATATAGATTCATATTAAAGTATGCAAAATATCTTCTAAAATTATGTTTAACCAAATGAATTTTCCTTAATTTCCGCCTGAGTGTGTGTGTTTGTGTGTGTGTGTATGTGACATAACTGTTATAACTGTTATACGCCCTGCATAGGATATATAACAGCTTAAAACTTCAGTTAATTGCAATCCCCATATACATCCCGCATTTTCTTTGACAGAAAATAAGGTCGCGGAAAGTGTGAGAATATTAAAAAAAAAGTCTATGTATAGCCCTAAGAATTATCTGTGTTTTTCTTAAGTCTTATTATCTGATAATAAAAGCTTAGCTAAATATATAACAAAGTTTATCCAGACTGACGAACTGATTGATCAGCAAAAGCATACGGCAAGCCGTAAAAACGAGTCTAATGTGGGTACTAGCAAATGAGAAATCGCTGGTTCTAACATGCTGGCAATTGGCCAAATGCATGTCTGAGTGTCGGACGCACAAGCGAGAAGTCGCTGGGTTAAACTTACTCGCAGATGATAATTAAGAGTCTGAGCATCTGGTTCAAAGTCAAATGTCAGTTGGGGTGTCAGAGCGTCGGACACCCAAGCGAGACGTCGCTGGTTCTAACTCAGCGGCAGATGTCAATTTGGTGTTCAGGCCTCGGACAAACATGATAGAGGTCGCTAGCTCAAACTACGGACATCGGACAAGAGAGGTCGCTGGTTTAAACTCAGCTGCAAATTTCTATATGTTGTCTGGGCGTCGGACGAAAAAGCTAGAGGTCCCTGGCTCAAGCTCAGTGCCTAATGTCAATTTCATGTCTAAGCGTAGAACAAACCAGCTAGAAGTCGCTGGTTCAAACTCAGTTTAAAAGTATTTATTAGCAGACTAACAACTGAAGTCAAGGATAACCCTTAAATATTCAACATTTTCTTTTTTTCGTATTCTCACACTTTCCACGACGTGCCATAACATACCGTATCCCCGTTTATGTATGTGTACAGTTTTTTCAAACTACATTTAACAAACCCCAACCCCAACCCCACCCCCTGCCCCACTATTTAACATGCATATATATAAGTCTAGTATGTATCCCCATATGAATACAAAGTAAATTAAATATATTTATACAATACAAAAAAAAAAAAAAAAAAGAATATCTGCGCCTTAAAAGTCAAACAAAGCAAAGCAAAAATCGTGATGAAAGAGTTAACGAGAAAAACACGAACAACAACAGCAAAAGAAAAGAAGAAAAAGAAGAAGTTTACAAGAGAGAAGCAGCTTCTAAAATGAACACAATTTGAGAAATGCAATTGATTTTTACTTGAAATGAGTCCAGAATTCTTATAATGGGCAAACAATTTTCCAATTCTTTTCTCAACTATTTTACACTCGAGTGCGAGTCCTTAGAGATCGAGAGGACGAGGAGAGAAGTGTTAAGCCTTTGATAAGCAATTCTTAAGCATATATACTACCATTTACAGGGTATCTATGAGATATGAGAAATGCTTACCTGAGCATAACTCGAGAACTATGAGAGCTTCTTTCATGAAAATTGGGATAAAGGTTCTTGTAGTCCGTTTACAGCTTAGGAATGTTTTCCTATTTGAATGCCTGTTCCTGATATTTATAGGAGCTAATTCTACGAAACTTTGGATATAGGTTTTCGTAGAGGAAACAATTTCGGAATGTTTCCCTATTTGTAAAGCTGCTCCCGACAATTGAAAGAGCTAGTTCCACGAAACTTGGGATATAGATTCGCTTGGAGCATACACAGATTAGGTATATATCCCTATTCGGATACCTACTCCCGACTAGTATAAGAGATAGTTCCATAAAACTTGGACTGTAGGTTCTCGTAGAGCTAACAGTTGAGGAATGTTTCCCCAGATGTTCAGCTCGAAAGCATTATAAGAGATAGTTCTACGAAACTTTGGGTATAGGTTCTTGTAGAACAAACACAGTTTAGGTATATTTTCCTATTTGTATGCCTTACGACAAGTATAAGAGTTAGCTCTGCGAAACTTGGGATATTAGTTCTCGTACTCCCAACATAGCTTTGGAATGTTTCCTTAAACATATATGTAGATACCAGGTCCCGATTATTATAAGAGCAGTTTCGTAGAACCAACTTGTGGTATAGGTTCTCGTCGGGCACACAGCTTAGAAATGTTTCCCCATCTGGGATACCAGCTGCCGATAATTGAAAGAGCCAGTTCTACGAGACTTGGTATGTAGGTTCTCGCAGCTTGGGAATACTTCCCTATTTGTATACCCCCCGACAACTATAGGAGTTAGCTCTACGAAACTTTGGATGCAGGAACTCGCAGATTAGAAATGTTTTCCTATTTGGATACCAGCTGCCCTTAATTGACAGAGCTTGACTCACGAATCTTGAGATCTAGATGCTTCTGCTTCCGTAACCCCGCCAGATATTCGAAGAAACACGCTTTTCAAGCTAGATTCTTACGCTTTCGCACTCTCACTTAGTTTTCGCTGAGTGTATTTAGCTGTAAACGCGGCGAAGAAATCTTCAAAAATTGCACAAAATTCAAAATACTCCGAATTTGAAAGCTTAGCAAATTTCGGACTAAAAATCATGTCTCAAAGCGTTTCTTAAATATTTTCAACATATTCTGTTTCTGTTTTTGAGTATAGAAAAGCGAAAATGAGAAATTTACGAAGTTTTACTCGGTCGCAAGTGAGTTCTCATGGAAAATAAACCGGAACCGGAAGATCAAAGATTTAAATAACTCTCACATAATTCTTGCACTCATTTTGCTGCTGCTGCTGCTTCTTCTTTATTGCTCACTTCACAGCTGCTCTTGTTGTCCCTCTCTCTCTCTCTCTCTCTCTCTCTCTCTCGCTCGCTGTCTCTCTTGCTCTCTCTTCACGATTTTTGCTTTGCCTCTGCTTGGCGCACGCCTCAATTCTTTTACGGTTATATCGTCTGCCCCTGTCGAAAAGCGAACTTAACTGTTAAAGCCGGAAAAATATGATTATTAAAATATGCGGCGATACGCCCACAACTTACTCTCCCTCCCTTCCCCCTCTGTGACATAACCCGCGCGTTCGACGCATATTTACATACATACATATATATATATATATATACAATATATAGCTGAACGATACGACCAGCCCGGACAGTCCGTCGATTGAGTTCATACCGGAGGCGAATGAGGCGACATTGACGGCGTCGACGTCGGCATATGTTACGGCGGCGACGGCGGCGGCAGCGGCAGCGACGCCGGCAGCGGCTGAGGCTGTGCAGGGCGTATCAAGGCCCACATCGCCAGTGGGCGTGGCCGATGTTATTAACAGCACCAAAGAGTCGCTGATGGGCAGCGCCAGCGCAGCGACAGCAACAGCGCTGGCAGCGGCCAAAAGCCCGCAGCGTGACGAGGCGGCAGCGACGCTGACGTCGACGTCGACATCGACATCGGCGCCAAAAGAGCTGCAAGATCGCCGCAAATCCATGTCATGGAAAACGTTCAATTTGAAGCGTCAATTATCAAAAGTCAATATGAAAATCGGCAACAGCCTCAATGTCAATACCGAGCCGGACTCGATCCGCAACAGCTCGGCCATATTCTATACGCCCAAGGAGAGCTCGCCGGAGGCAGCGACGGCCGAGGAAATTGCCGCCGAGGCGCTCGAATGCCGCGAAGAGGATGTCGGCCTCGCGACGGCCACAGCAATGCTCAATTGTGATACGGTCGAGATGCCAGCGACGGCAGCAGCGACGTCGACTGCAACGGCGACGGTGACGGCGACGCAAAAGCGCGTCGATTTTGAGCAGCCGCCGGAGAGCGGCGAGCGGCCAAACAATCTGCCGCTCACCGAAACACAGCAGGCACAACTGGGACAGGGACAGCCGCCATTAAAGCCGACGCGTCAAAAGTTCAAAGAGAAGTCGCGCGATCAGCGGCTGCTCTCTGTGCCGAATATTAAGTATCAGCCGCGAGAGCAGCGATCGGGCGCCATTGGCATTGCAGCTGGCGTTGGGCGGGCCAATAAGAACGATGTGTCGCCTCTCATGAGCGGCAGTTTAACCAAAAAGATACGTAAGTATGCGTGTGTCAAAGATATTTAAGCAAAAATCCCAACCAAAACCACCTAACCCAGCAAACCACCCCCCCCCCCCCCCCCCCCCCTTCCTAACCCTGCCAAAAACCGGCCATTGCTGCAGTCAGTACGTTAAGCAAGCGAGAGCGTAAAGGCGTGCAAAATTGTCTGCCCAACACCATATGTTTATCTCACTCCCACCCGCACAGAGAGCGTGAGCGTGTGAGCGAAAAAGACAAAAACACAAAAACCAAAAACGAAAACAAAAAAAAAGACAGGCTCCCAATTGTAGTTGTAGCAGTTGCAGTTAGTGAGAGCGATGCCGAGAGAGCCGAAAATCGACACACACACACAGACAGACAGAAATACACAGGCCAGCGCTGCAACTGCGCTGCTGCGAATTGTAGTTGTAGCAGTTGCAGTCAGTGAGAGCGATCGCGAGAGAGCCGAAATTAACACACACACACACACACAGACAGACACAAATACACAGGCAAACGCTGCTGCTGCTGATTTACCATGTTGCCAACATTGCGGTGCATTGTGCGTGTGTGTGTGTGTGTGTGTGTGTGAGTGTGTGCGTATTAGGACGTGCCCATTTAAGCAACATACAAGCAAACCCCGACCACCCCTCCGCCTGCATTCCCCTCTGTAACGTTGCTCGTCTTTAGCTGCAGCTCTCTTTGTGGCTGGCGCGCATTCTCTTTGCCAAAAGCTTTTCTATGTTTCGTATGCAAGCCGTAGATTTTTATTGTAGTTATGCAAGTTGAGAACCCGCCCCGTTCCCGCCAAGCGCCCATTTGTGAAAACAAAATTTAGAGAGCGTGTGTATTAACTGTAAATGAACGAAATGGTTCGTTAAGTTGGGGCTGCTTCAAAATTATTTTCATTTAACGAATTGCATTTTGTATAGCGACAACATATTCGTAGAGTTTCTTTTGGTTTCCATAGCTACAACTACAACAAATGTAATCTTAAATGATAATAATACAAATATTAATAGTAATATAATAACAACAAATCGTTTGTGCACCAATCAACAACAACAACAACAACAACAGCAACAACAGCAATAACAACAACAACAGCAACAACAAAAATGCAAATCAAATTTCAATTGCAAATCAAATTCTTATCTATGCTTCTTTCTCCTGAAACTAGGCAACGGATGCAGAAGAGCTGCAATATAACTGCCTTTATGTGATTGTATGGAAGTTCTTTGGTAATTCATTCTAACAACAACAACTACAACACACACACACACACACACACACACACACACACACACACACACACACACACACACACACTCATGCACAACAACTAATGCACACATACATACACACACACACACAAACAAACAGTATTAGTAAGCAGCAGAGCAAGAAGAAGAGAAGAAGATGTTTGTAAAGCAGAGGCAGAATTAGCACAAGCACAATACATGCTCACATATCTACACATACATACGCAAATATATATGTATGCATACATATAGGCATATATATATATGTATATGTATCCAGTACTTAACTTAGTAGTGTGAAGACCCTCAGTATCCATAAGCCCCCCAATCCCCTCGACCCAGCGACGGCTTACAAAATGGCGGCAAAAATAATATGAAAATCAACAAAAAGCAAAAAAAAAAAACACGAAAATGTTATATAAAAAGAACTGTCTTTATCTCTCTAATTCTATCTCTCTCTCTCTGTCTCTCACTCTCTCTCTCTCTCTCTGTCTCTCTCCGTCTCTTGATATCTATACATATATGTATATGTATGTGTGTATATACATAACTACCATAAATATAAATATAGTACGCATAACTGTTGTAACCAAAAAAAAAAAAACCAAAAAAAAAATACCACAAAAAATACCAACCACACAAAACCACCTAAATATATTCTAATTCACCCAAAAAGAAACCCCTCAATCGTACTCTGTGTATGCACTGTGCAAAATATATATTTATAAAAATACCAAAAATACTAAAAATACCAACAAAAAAAAAAGAAGAAAACATAACATATATTTAAATACTAAATGGGTTGTTTTTGACTGTTGTACGTAACACGTTTGTTTGTGTAAACTCCATGTTGCATCATAGCTCATAAGAAACGATAAACATCAACGTCATCATCATGAAAATAAATGTCATCTCTTAACACTAAGTACGCCACGTTTCTCGTGGACCCAACGTTCCGCCGGCCAGCCTGATCCACCAAACTGCCAATAACCGAACAAAAAAAAGAAAAAACAAAAAAATTAATAGAAAATAATATGTATCGATAACGATAACACTTATCGATATATATATATATATATATATATATATATATATATACATATGTATGTGTATGTATGTGTATTTAATTGTTTGGGTTCGCTCTGTGTTATCTCACATGTCTGTCTGAGAAGCAACGGCTTACGTTGAAATACTTGTTGTAGCAGCAAAAGCTCATCGCTGTTATCGATAACTATCGAGCTTGTTATCGGACGCCTAAGCGCTTTTAAAGCTTTACAATTATTTCAGTTTGTTTGATTCAGTTTTGGCTTTTTTACGCTTATGATTTTGTTAACGATAAAACGCTTGCAACGCATAAATACCGTTGCTTAATTTTTTTTTTTTGCCTATACAACACTGTAAAATAATACAACAACACGATGAAACACACAACTATTCGTAAGCTTTATAATACCGTCACCCAAACATATGTATTATACATGTTCGATAAATATCGATATAATTTTTGCTTTGTCTTAACACACACACATACTCTAATGCTTCTCTATATAAGCTGTTCAAATTTATCCTATTGCTTACTTAACCACATATTCACATACGTTTTGTATGTTTATGTATTTAACTATTTGTACTACTTATTTAATTAACTCGTTATCGTTCAGATCGTTCCGCGTGCTTTATGTCTCATATATATATATATACATATATGTATATATATGTTTATATATAGATTTATATATTTTGTTACGTCCCTCGACAGTCGCCATCGCTGTGTTCTCTCTCTCTTTCTCTCACTCACCCTCGTCTGTGTTGTGATTTGTTGTTTCATCTTTGTTCATTTTGCACCCACGAGAGATTCACCAACACTCTGAACTGCGTTATATATCACACTCATTTACCAACACTGTTCAATGTACACACACACACACACACACACAGTTTATTGTTTGCCTGGCACAATGCGAACTCCGGGCAGCGGGCATTACTGTTAAATACTGTTAACTACTCTCTCTCTCTCTCTCTATCTATCTCTCACTCACTCACACACGCACACACCTAAACCCAACGAAACTGATGCTTGCACACGCACACATTCATGTTATGCATTCGTTAAGTTTTTATCGTTGTTTCATGCGCCAACGACCAACCGCCCCCCCTCCCCCTCTCCCACACTCCACGCACACGTTCCCATCACTAACCGAAAAAGTATGCTATACACATGCACACACACACACACACACACACACACACACACACACACACACACACACACACACACACACACCCATGCACACGTGCTCGCACAAGAACAAGAACAAGAAGAAGAAGAACAACAATTGATTTGTTGCTCCATTCAATCATTTAGTGCATTTATCTCTCTCTTTCTCTCCTTCTCTCTGTGTGTATCTCTCTCCTCTCCCTTATTATTGTTTATTTACAATTGACCAGATCAACGGCGGAGCCAGCGGCGCCAATGCGAATGCTAATGCGAGCGCAAATGCAGCGCAGCAGCAGCAGCAGCAGCAGCAGCAGCTACAACAGCAGCAGCAACAGCAGCAGCAGCAGCTACAACAACAGCAACAACAACAACTACAACAACAGCAGCAGCAGCAGCAGCAGCAACAGCAGCAACAGCAGCAGCAGTTACAACAACAACAGCAACAGCAGCAGCTGACGATGGGCGATCCTCTGTCTGCGTTGACGTCGTCGTCAGCAAATGCAGCGGCAGCGACGTCGACGTCGGCGTCTGGCGTTTATGGTGCGGACGATGCAGGTGCGGGTGTTGCTAGTGGCGGTGTTGGTGTTGGTGGTATTGGTAGTATTGGTGGCCTATCAGGTGCGGGCAGCGGCAGCGGCAGCGGCGGCGGCGGCAGCGGTGGCGGTGGCGTCGGCAGCGGCAGCGGCGTTGATCAGCTGCAGCAATTGATGGCTTCCTTTGATGCCGAAACTGGCGAGGCAGTTGCAGGTGCGCAACAACAACAGCAACAACAACAACAACAACAACAGCAACAGCAACAACTACAACAACAATATCAGCATACGCATCCGCTTCAGCATCAAACATCTGTTATACAGCAACAACAGTCGGTGACATCGTACGAGTCCCTAAAAAAGTCCAAATCACAAGGTGGGAGCACAACAGAGCACCAACTACAACAACAACAACAACTACAACTACAACAACAACAACAACAACAGCTAAAACAAGAAACAGCAACAACATGAAAAATTTGCACCACAACAACAAGCATTGCTCTCACTCTCTCTCTCGCTCTCTCTCGCTCTCTCTTTGTGTGTGTGCTACAGTGTTGTATAACACATATATTATGACACTTACTTCACACGCACATGCACACACCTACACACACACGCGCACACACCCACAAACACGCTCAGCAGCACGTTGCCTGTGGTTTGCCTCTACCCTCTCTCTCTCTCGCTCTCTCACACACGCTCTCTCTGTGTCTGTATATCTCTCTCTCTCTCTCTCTCTCTCTCTCTCTCTCTGTCTCTGTCACACACACTCTTTGACTGAGCGGCCGCAGCGGCCATTTTGCAAGCTCGTTTTTGGTTTTGATTTTGTATTTGATTTTGATTTCTTCTGTTTTCTTGTCGAATTGTCTTTTGTTTTGAGAAGGGGCTGGTGGGGGGAGGTTTGCGTAGGAATGTTGCGTTTCTCGCCCACATTTCGTCACTTTTTTCGCTCACAACAACAAAAATCGAAAATAAATTTTAATAAAATATATAAATTCTTCAACGACTTTGTCTGACTCGCTCGCTCGCTCGCTCGCTCCACACTCTACCGCTCGTTCGCTCGTTCGCTCGCTCGCTCGCTCGCTCGCTCTCTCTCTCTCTTTCTCTCTCGCTCTCTCTCTCTCTCTCTCTCTCTCTCTCTTCCTCTCTCTCTCTCTCTCTTTTACTCTCTTTACTCTCGCTCTGACTTACTCTTAATATGTTTATGTATTTGTTCACATACACAATCTGTCTGTCTCGCTCGCTCGCTCGCTCGCTCTCTCGCTCGCTCTCGGTATTTGTGCACGCTTCCAATTAGCAACTAATAAGAACAGCAACAACTGCAACAGCAACAACTAACTAACTGCAACTAACAAAAGCTCAGCAAGTTCTGCATTGGCAAAGTATTTTTGCATAGTTCACACACGCACACACACACACACACACACACACACACGCATAAACGAATGTATTGGCACACGCACACGCACACGCACACCAATGTATTTGCATTGAGGTCCTTCTGTGATTGGCCCAAAAACTTAACGAGTGTGCGGCTCACTCACACGCACACACACACACATACACACACACATACACACACACACATAGACACACACACACATACACACCCACATAGAACATAGAACAACAACAAGAACAACAATTTAGCAGCCTAGCGAAAATAGTGCAGCAAAAAAAAAAAACCAAATCAAAATAAAAATAGATAAAAATCGAAAAAAAAAAATAATATAAAATAATTATTAAGCAAAAGTTATGCCTACTACCGCCCGCCGCTTTTACTCTCTCTCTCTCTCTCTCTCTCTCTGTCTCTCTTTCCTACTCCTCTCACTCTCTCTCTCTCTCAAACTCTCTCTCTCTCTCTCTCTCTCTCTCTATGTCTCTCACTCTTTCCAAATTCCGTATATCAATTGTATTGTGTAATCGTTTGCCACTCTCTTTGCTGTACCGTTATCTATTTATCGATATTTACCTTTGCCTATAAACATTTTTTATCGAATTAATCGTTTCTTGTTTCCCGTTCAAAAAAAAAAACACACACACACATAAAATACTGACTTGCAGATAAATTGGATGGAACCTTCTCGAGATCCAGATCGTCATCAATGTCCAGCATTGATATGTCTTCCTCTGAATCTGTTACCTGTTTAGCTTTTATCGAGAGCTATGCAAAACGCAATGGTAAGTTGCCCGACATTCAAAATCCCCCTTATATTACATTTACATTTCGATTTATTCAAAACGGGCTAGGCTTATGTCTATTGCCTGCGCAAAGCCGGGTAATAATAGTATGACATCCACAAATATATATTAAATTTTCATAGCATATTTATTGGGGCTCACGAAAATTGCAACATTTCTGCATATTGTGCTATTGGGCTAGCGGAAAAGTATGCTATAGGGAGGAAGATCTCGATAAAATGCGATAAATTTATCGTTAAATATCGCTAATTGCAGTAAAGCTCAATTTTTCTTTAATGTTAGCTTAATCAAATTATGTAAACAAAAACAAATTTAAGAGAGTTATTGATCGCAAACGATCCATTTATCGATATATATCGATTAGTAATAAAAGTGCAGAGTTTTTCCGTCGATCAAATTTAACGAACAAAACAGTTTGAGAAAGTTATCGATCGAAAGCGATCCATTTATCGATAAATATCGATCAGTTATGCTAGTGTTCAAGCCAAAATCAATCAAACTAAACACACAAAAACAAATTTGAGTATGTTATCGATCGAAAGCGATCAATATATCGATAATTATCGATCAGTAATGCAATTGCGGAGCTTCTCTTTGGGTTACTTTTCAATAAAATTAACAAACTAAACAAATTGAATGGAGAAATCGATAAATTTATCGACTCGTTTCAATATATATATATATAACTCGATATATGTAGACACATATATGACAATTTGTATGCATATATTTTTGAATTTCTTCAGATATTTTGACGCTTGTTCCTACTTTATGGATTGGAACTAGTTTCGGTTCAATATTGACATTGTTTATCACAATGCCGGAGCGCGATGTGCGCAAATCTCAGCCAGTTTTGGTTACAATAAACGGTAAACCCAATCGAACATATATCTAACTATATAATTGGAAAACTAAGCCCTATTATTTTGCTGCAGGCGGACCCGTGGTACGACTCAAAGGCTCCATTACTTCCATGTCTTTTTTAGACTCCTACGGCTCGATCATACCCTATACATTTGAGCCTTGGCGCGACGAGAACAGGGACAAGAAAGATCGTAACTATATATACATATACATATACTTAATTTCAGTCAAATCGCAACAATCTAATATATATATATATATATATTCTCGTGCAGGCACGCCCACTAAGAGCAGCAGCCGCACCAGCCCCACATTTACGCCAACAACTGCCAATACAATATCAAATGCTTCCGCTGCTGGCAGCGCAGCGGCTGCGGGCAGCTTGGGCGGCAGCGTCGGCAGCGGCGGCGCCGCAGCTGCAGCTGGCAGCGCAGCTGCTATTGGCAATGTTGTTGGCGGTGGAGCGCCATCTGGCGGCGGTGCGCCTGGCATTGCGCCCGGTGGCAGCGGCAGCGCTGCGCCCAGCGGCATCGGCGGCGGCGGCGGCGGCGTCGGCAGCGGCGTCGGCAGCATCATTGGCGGCGGCGGCGGCATCAGCAGCAGCAGCGCCAGCAGCAGCGGCATCAGCGGCAGCGTCAGCACCGGCCTGGAAACACTCACCGATCGACAATATATCGTAATCGCTAGCGAAAAGCAAACAAAAGTCTTCGATGTGGCAAATCAATGCTGCATCAATCGCATACAATTATCGGAAATGGATTTTGCAGTCAAGGCAGAAACTATCACGATGAAAGGTCCGCGAGAGCGAGAGAGAGAGAAACGCCTAATCAAAATACTGTATATATCCTGGCAATCGTAATCGTAATCGTTATCGTTATCGTTATCGTTATCGAAGCCAGTCCCCAGACTGTAGCTGTGCTTCGCATAACTCGGTTGAGTTCGCATCGTTTCCTTTGAAATACTCTGGGATTATCTATATCTATATACTATATACTATATACTATATACTATATACTATATACTATATACTATATACTATATACTATATACTATATACTATATACTATATACTATATACTATATACTATATACTATATACTATATACTATATACTATATACTATATACTATATACTATATACTATATACTATATACTATATACTATATACTATATACTATATACTATATACTATATACTATATACTATATACTATATACTATATACTATATACTATATACTATATAGATACTAGATACTAGATACTAGATACTAGATACTAGATACTAGATACTAGATACTAGATACTAGATAATAGATAATAGATACTAGATAATAGATAATAGATACTAGATACTAGATACTAGATACTAGATACTAGATACTAGATACTAGATACTAGATACTAGATACTAGATACTAGATACTAGATACTAGATACTAGATACTAGATACTAGATACTAGTTACTAGTTACTAGTTACTAGTTACTAGTTACTAGATACTGGATTCTAGATACTAGATACTAGATACTAGATACTAGATACTAGATACTAGATACTAGATACTAGATACAAGATACTAGATACTAGATACTAGATACTAGATACTAGATACTAGATACTAGATACTAGATACTAGATACTAGATACTGGATAGTAAATACTATATCATTATCTACCCAATCCTTCTACTCCTTATAAGCCATTGCCAGGCTATATACACGTATTGAGATCTTGAAATTGTTTCTAGCTTAGGTTAAGGTTTGTTAAATTTATTGCTAATCCTTGTCGCTTACAGATGGCACTTGCTTAGCAACCTATCTTTCGAATGGCCATCTAATGGTACATAGTCTTCCTAGTCTCAAACTGTTGTTGGATACTGATTTCTTACCGCTGATGGAGTTAAGGTGCGCCCCACAGTCATAACTGTTATATTGAGCTTAAATTAATTGAAATTGTTTTTTTTTTTTGGCAGTTTTCAAACCAAATGTAAACAGGGAATTGTGGATCCAATGCTATCGATATGGGGTCAACAGATCATTGTTCATGAAGATACAACTCAGTAAGGCTGAGAGCCTCAATTCGGCGAGCTTGAATTATATATATATATAATCTCGTTTTTTCTTTTTTCGATCTTGCAGAATATCAAAAATATTTTGCTTTAGTCATAAAGGTCATGGATTGTACATGGCATCGCCCACCGAAATTCAGAAATTCACGATATCATCGGAATTTTGGTAAGATCTCCGGTCCCTCCCAATCAGCTCTCTTTCTCTCTCTATATATATATATAATTAATCAATTTGTGTCTACGCTTTAGTCAATTTATTTTGGAGATGATGGGTGAGTTATATACGGTACACGAGATGCCCGAACAGCCGAAGGAGGGTTTCTTTAAGGGTCTATTTGGCGGGGGCGCCAAGCAATTGGATCGCGAGGAGTTGTGTAAGTTTTTATAGAAATATCGTATTTACTATGGTAGATACTTAAATACACTGTAATTTGTTAGTTGGTGAGCAGAGCGGGAAAGCGAATCGTTCGGTTGCACGGCATATACCCGGCACAAATTTGGATCAAATGGGACAACGTGCCTCGACGGCCGCATCCGAAATTAGCCGGGCCCATCAGCTGGCAATGGAGCGGGGCGAGAAATTGAATATGTTGGAGGAGCGCGCCGAGCGTATGTCGAATACGGCTCAAGATTTTAGCGGTACAGCGCATCAATTAATGCTTAAATATAAAGACAAAAAGTGGTATCAGTTGTAAAATATCTATTTTAGGAGCCAATTCTACCACAGTTATTGTAATATTGCTTTTATAACACTTTCTACTACATTACGAGTAAAGTACACTTATTTAATTTCTGTTTTCAAGTCGTCACGTTATTTACAAAAACAACCAAAAACAAACAAAAAACAACAAAAAACCAAATAATAAAACAAAAAAAAAAAAACTGTTTTTAATAAAAATATATAGACCAAAAAAAAAAAAAAAAAATACCAAAATATATATCTGGGCAACTTTTGCCACAGGCCGCTTTGTCTCTCCTTTCAGTTCTGATACAAACGAAACATAAATACTTATTTGACGCTAATAAAGAAAAGGAATCGAAATATATGTATATAGTATATATATATATACATATAGGGCCTGAGATAGAGGTCCTTATATGCCAGGAGCTCCGTGAGCGCGTCTCTAGGGACAACATCAAACTTTCCAGCTCTGGATGCCGTGTATTTGGTACGTAGCCCAACACTGTCCTACACGAAAAACAGACGGGTACCTTCTCACCTTAGCCAGATACTAAAAAATAGTCTTGAATAACTTGGGTTCACGTTGTCGAATCTGTATGAAACTTTCAGGGCATAAATATGGCATAGTAAAGCGTCTATATACCCAGGCGCAAGGCGCTACCTTTTAAAATACCCTTTTTTATTTGTTTTGAGTGGCATGCAAAAATGGAAATATACTTAATATATATGCTCGATAAATAGAATATCAATATCTAAACTTGATCGATTTTTCGAGAACGATGCAGATTATATTAACGGAATTGCCAGTCTCTAACCTCAAAATCCAGGCTATAATATATATATAGGTCATATTTGTGGCTTCATCTTATGTGAAGGAAATTAGCTCTGCACTAGCAAATATTACTGATCCTAAACAAAAACATAGATTTTGATGGGAACTACAAGATGTTCATTGCAAATTTCTGTTTTCTAGATTTTGTATTCCATATGGATACGACTTGGTATAAAGACCGAGTTTTCAGGAAATTAGAAAAAATACAGTAATATTTCTTATATTTTATTGATAGTTTCTTCTAAAATGCTGCAAAACAATAGAAATCAATATGTAGCCATGGTTTTTATATAATCAAAGCCTTGTTTAGTTATTCTCTTATTTATCTTTTTTTTTTTGGTGCTGCCACCTGTTCATATTTGTGCAAATATCAGACGCAAGGGCAGGCAAGCATATAAAAGGCGTGCCCTAAAAAAAAATATACAATAATATAAGTATAGACTAAACACGCACATGCTCATCTTAATTTATTTATTTATATTGATTTGTTGTGCTGAACGCAGTTGGGCAACATTTCCTGCACCGAATTGGGCGGCGTTATGCAGCACTGCTGCGGCAGAGTCATGGCTACGGCTAGTGCCTGGCCATTGCTTATCGATTGTACAATCGATAGTCGTGCGTGCGTGTGTATCGCTGGCTGTCAGCACTAGCAAAAGCATTTTTGCTGGAGTCTAACCATTTTATTTTAGTTAATAAAATACACATATTTCCTCTTTTTTTTCCGTTGTGCGCGTACGTAAAGTGCAAAAAGACGTTAACGCCACAGTTGCGAGTGCATTAACGGGGCCAACTCGCAGTCACAGACGCAAATTTCCTCAGAAATTTCACACACGCATACATATATATATCAAAAAAAAAAAAAAATTTTTTTTTCTTTTTTTTTTGTCATTCGTTTTGGGTCCCCCCCCCTTAACGTACAATAGTAAAAAGCCAACCTTGAGAAACACCCAGCACAGCAGTTTCAAACTGCTCGCAAACGTTTCGTGGTAAGATTTGATGCCAAACAGCAAAAATTTCAATACAAATTGTGTAAAAAAAAACATATATAGAGAAAAAAAACAAATCGCAAATGCGTGCAAATGCGGGCCAACGTTTGACTAATTTTTCTTTTGTGTCTCAAAAAAAAAAAAAACGATGAAAAAACATGTAAGGTGCAGTAGTAGCAACTGCTTGCAGCTGTGTGCGTGCTCGTTTCTGTGTGTGTGTGTGTGTGTGTGTATGTATCAATGCTAAAGTGTTGGTGCTGCTGCGTTTGCATATGTGTGCGTGTGTGTGTAATGTGCATTCCAACGGGGTAAAAGAAGCGGAGCATGTAGTTGTACCTGTCATTGTAGTTGTGTGTGTGTGTGTGTGCGTGTGTGTGTGTCTCGTTGTCGCAGTTGTTTATCGTTTTATCAGCGGCTATGTTTATATAGAAATCGACCATTGTGAAAATAAATAATCGATCACAGTCTGTTTATGTCTTCTGCTGTGTGGCCACCTGACACTGCCCCGCACTGCACCAGGCAATAATTGTTTTTGTTCAACACGCACACACACACACATGCACGCACATGCACATGCACGCACTCAATATATCGACTATCGATTCGAAATGTTAATTTCGTTATGGAAAATGCGCAATATTAGCAGACAATTTTGTTGAAAACGAAGCGCAGGCCAAAGCATAAATGCCAAAGAGAGTGTTGGCTAACGAAAACCATAACAAAACAATATGCCAAACCGTGTGCGTGTGTGTGTGTGTGTGTGTGTGTCTGTGCAACAAAACGAAATATAAATAAAAGACAAAAAAAAAAAAAAAAAATAACAAGGCGACAGCTCAAAAAGAAAGTGTTTTTTTCTTCTGCACAAAGTTGGCGCCAATAAACCAACATAAAATTCATAAAAATACAAGTTTTTATTTTGATTATTTCATTATAATTTTTATTTTATCATTTTTCGACAGATCTCGTCCAAGAAGTTGATACATAAAAAAAAAAACAGTTTCTATATTGTTTTTGTCGCCCAATTAACCGAACGCGCGGCGTAGCCATTATCCCAACAACATGGACAAGATGCGGCTGATGAAGGAACATCGTTCCGAGATAATAATTGGCGGCAAATATCGGGTGATACGCAAGATCGGTAAGCGCATGCACACATATGTGTATACATCATATCTACACATGCACATATATATATATATTTATATATACATGTGTTTACAATTTGTTTTCACGTTGAATCATTCACAGAACATATGACAATTGTGTTTGTGCGTCTGCTTTATGAAAAACAACAACAACAGGGCCTGTCTTCGATCCCAGAAAGTCCATATATATATGGAAGTATGCATATATATATTCCAGTTTTAAGTCCAGACTGTCCGTTTATGGTTTCCATGCCATGCTATATTATTCCTAGGCATCTTTGTAGTGGAACGAAAGTACCTCTATATATATGCTCGAATAGCGAGCATTGCCCGGCCTTGCACGTGCTAGCAATTTTAGATGTTAGATTGCATCTTGATCCCATCTTAGGGAATAGGGAATTGCTAGTCTTGCGTTGAATATCTCGAAGAATCTTTTGCTTAATAAAACCGCACTTTACATCAAAGAACTACAATTGATTTGTAGAAGATCTTTCGAAATAGGCTTTAGGGCAATCGTATGGTTAACAAAATAGTTTCATACAAATGTTATTCTGCAATTCTTCAATATAACCCATCAGTCAGTCAATCAGGCACTCCATCAGTCAGTCAATCAGGCACTCCATCAGTCAGTCAATCATTCCCTTAGTGAATCGAATCTGTCTAGTCAGTTAATCTATCAGTCGTCTGTCCAATCAGTGAGTCGAATCTGTCAGTCAGTCAATCTATCAGTCAGAGACTGAGTTCAATCAGTGATTGAGTCAATCAATTAGTCAGTCATTCAGTCATTCACAGAGAGAGAGGAAGAATTTATATTATATTTTGACTGAGCATCTTAAATTAACGTTTAGTGATGTACTTAATCAGACAGTCCATCAAGCAGTCCATCAGTCAGTCAATCAATTAGTCCATCAGACAATAGTTTTGTATATAGAAACAACAACAGCTTGCGAATGGATCATGCGCCCAAAGAGCGCATCATTTGTTCGCTAAGATCTATAAATATGGATTTTGAGACGGATTTCTCAAAAATTATAGATTGTGTACATAGAATTGGAAGAGAATATACAGGATATCTTGCAGTCGGCACACAATTTGTCTCTCTATTTCTGATCGTGACTAAACTTAAACCATTTTACAGGCAGCGGCTCCTTCGGCGACATCTATCTGGGCATGAGCATTCAGAGCGGCGAGGAGGTGGCCATCAAGATGGAAAGCGCCAGCGCTCGCCATCCCCAGCTGCTGTACGAGGCGAAGCTGTATCGCGTGCTGAGCGGAGGCGTGGGATTTCCGCGTATCCGCCATCATGGCAAGGAGAAGAACTTTAATACGTTGGTGATGGATCTGTTGGGTCCCTCGCTGGAGGATCTGTTTAACTTTTGCACGCGCCACTTTACCATCAAGACCGTGCTGATGCTGGTCGATCAGATGATCGGCCGCCTGGAGTATATACATCTGAAGTGCTTCATTCATCGTGATATTAAGCCGGACAACTTTCTGATGGGCATCGGACGGCACTGCAATAAGCTGTTCCTCATTGATTTCGGTCTGGCCAAGAAGTTTCGCGATCCGGGCACGCGCCATCACATCGTCTATCGCGAGGACAAGAACTTGACGGGCACCGCACGCTATGCCTCGATCAATGCCCATCTGGGCATCGAGCAGTCGCGCCGTGATGACATGGAGTCCTTGGGCTATGTGATGATGTATTTCAATCGCGGCGTCCTGCCCTGGCAGGGCATGAAGGCCAACAACAAGCAGCAGAAATATGAGAAAATCTCCGAGAAGAAAATGTCCACGCCCATCGAGGTGCTCTGCAAGGGCTCACCGGCCGAGTTCTCCATGTACTTGAACTATTGTCGTAGCTTGCGTTTCGAGGAACAGCCCGACTACATGTACCTACGTCAATTGTTCCGGTGAGTATGCATTCGACTAGCTCTTAGCTCTTATATAATATATATATGGGACTTTGTCCCAGACAAAGTGCCTCTCCATTTCGCTCGACTGCGTGAATTATGGGTAAAATACTGCCGCATTTGAGTTTCAGTTGGGTTGCGGATTGCCTGTCTCAGCGATTCTTTAAGGCTAATTTGTGTTGGAAATATATATTTAGCTTCTCAGTTAACGTTAGATTGCATTTGGTCAGCCTTTTGTGGGTCTGGAAAAGCGAGTGGAATCCACATTTTAGGCGCAGTTCTACCTAAATATGCGCTCAGATGCAGTAAAAGCAGCTAAAGGCCAATATTGACCTGCAGAATTGAGTAGTATTTGTAATTTTAGTTGTTTTTAGTAGCATATAGGAACAAATCTAGCCCAGTCTTATACGTTGGTTAGAGTGGGACCCGAAATTACTTCAGAAAGAACTTCACAAAGTGTTGCCAAACATGCGCTCAATGGGAAAAGCAAAGGAATTTGCAAGTTTTATTTGGATTTGAACCAGCGACCTTACGCTTGCTGGTTCAACGCGCACACAGCTAAGCTAATCAGGCTCATCAGCTCATGTTTTTCAACTTTTTTCCGCCCAATTGGAAATGGAATCCATCGAAGCTTACTTGCCCATCAATCAGTCAATCAGGAAGGGAGCTTACATCATTTGATTGTTGCCACACAGGCGATCAGGATTTGAACCAGCGACTTAACGTTTGCTGGTTCAAAGCGAAGACAGCTGAACTCACCAAGCGCATCAGCTCATAATTTTCAACTTTTTTTTTGCCCAATTGGAGTTGGAATCCATCAAAACTCACTTGCCCATCAATCAGTCAATCAGGAAGGGGAGTATACATCATTTGATTGTTGCCACACAGGCGATCAGGATTTGAACCAGCGACTTTACGTTTGCTGGTTTAACGCGCAGGCATCTAGGCTAATCAGTCTCATCAGCTGATATTTTTCAACTTTTTTCGCCCAATTGGAGTTGGAATCCATCAAAGCTCACTTGCCCATCAATCAGGAAGGGGAGTATACATCATTTAATTGTTGCCACACAGGCGATCAGGATTTGAAACAGCAACTTTACGTTTGCTGGTTCAACGCGCACACAACTGGACTCACACTCACACTTAACAGCTCATCTTTTTCAAGCTTTTTCGCACAATTGGAGATGGAATCCATCAAAGTTTACTAGCCCATCAATCAGTCAATCATTTTACCAGGCAGGAAGAGGGAGCACACATAATTTTATTTTCGATTTACGAACCATTTGTCAATGCTTCTCAATGTTGTTTCCCGTTGATTCGTCTACAGCATTTTGTTCCGAACGCTGAACCATCAGTACGATTACATCTATGACTGGACAATGCTGAAGCAGAAGACACACCAGGGCCAGCCGAATCCCGCACTGCTGCTGGAACAGTTGGAGCCGCGCAACGATCGCGAAAAGGAGAAAGAGAAACCGAACTGCAAACCTCCCATCACCGAGTAATTCAGCTGAAGAAGCAGCACGCAAAAAAACAAAAACAAAAAGAAAAACAAAATAAAACAAAACAGAAAATCAGAAAAAAAAAAAAAACTGAAAGAAGAAAAGAAATGAGAAGGCAAATAAGAAGAGCATGAAGAAAATGATAACTAAGGGTGGCAAGCGTTAAAAACAAAAACAAAAACAAAAAGCAGCAAAACACAGAGAGAAGCAGAGAGAAGTAAAGAGAAGGAGAACAAGAAGAGGAAGAAGAAGCAAAAGTATGGAAGTTAGGATGTTTCTTAATATTAATTTAAATACAATACTAAACATTTAAGAAAGATGAAGAAGAAAAACAACAACAAAAACTCAACTACAAAAGAAGAAAGAAGCAAATATCTAAATGGAATTCACACACACACACACACACCCACACACACCACACACACACAACAGCAACATTTAGCATAATAAAAGCAAGCAAAAATGGTATAAAAAACAGCATATATTCACACATATACACACACATATATATATATATATATATTTAGATATATATGTATATATATAAATGCAAATATATAATGTATATGTACACACACTCACACACACACACACACACACACACATTCAAGAATGTCGCTCGCGTGTAAAAGCATGCATATATATGTATATACATATATATGTATTAAAGTATATATATATATATATATATATATATATATATCTACTGAACACACTAAAATGCGAAATTAATAAAATTAAACAACAACAACAAAAAACGACGCAATAAAATCTAATTAATTAATAAACAAACAGCATGCGAGCAAGGCCAAGCGTGGAAGGAGCAGAGCAAGAAGGAGTATATAAATAATAATAATAATAATAATAATAATAAAAAAAAAAAACAGAAAAAAAATTAAAAAAAAAAAAACAAAACAAAACGCAAAACTGCAAAGTAATTTTGCATTGTAAGCCGTAAATAATTATAAACATAACTTATATTTAATTTTTTGAATTACATCAATAAAAATATGTTGAAATTAAAATTAAAGCTCATTTGTCGTGTGTTGTTTCTCGCCTTGTGAATGCAGTTTATAAACAAAACTATTTATGCATTTCAAGAGAGACCTCGAGCATTATACGAAAGATCCATTCTAAGAAATACAGTATATATAGTCATATATAGTAAAGTCCGATATCGAAGAGTCTGCAAACCAAACCTTATCTATTACTGATCTGTTTATATCCTAACGAGAGATCGAGCATTATCCAAGAGTTGCTTTGGAGTAACGTATTTACAGTCTTATATAGTATAGATAGTCATATATATTTTATATAGTCATATATTTACAAATATATGTGGTCATATAAGGTGTTTGTGATTATATATAGTCAGATCTTAGAGTCTGCAAACAGAACCTAAGTTATTATTGATCCAATCATATCCTAGTTGTCGAGAGATCGAGCATTATCCATATACGTACAGTCTTATATAGTATAGATAGTCATATATAGTTTATAAGGTCATATATTTACAAATATATGTGGTCATATATGATGTAAAGGTGGTCATATATAGTGTATAAAGTCAGATATCGTAGCCAAACCAAACCCAATTCACGACAGATCGAGCATTATCCAAGAGTTGCTTTTGAGAAATATAATATATATGGTCATATATAGTGTGTATATTTTTATATATAGCCATATATAGCTTCTAAAGTCATATATTGTCATATATTTGAGCTTCTGCGAACCTTTTGCTCTTAGAGTTCATCCAGTTCCCAATCTCTCAATCTCTTGCATTGTTGTGCTGGAATACCAAAATACCTATGTGATTGTCCATATAGATTCATATAGATCCGATGTGCAAAATATATATTCCAATATTATCGCCCTTTCGCAAAGTATCTTAAAGCCTATTCAATCTCTATGTACATATATATATATATATATATATGTTTGAGCCGTCTGTCAACTTTTTAGTTACATTTTTTTTGACTTTAGATAATCCGGTTTATATAGTTCCCGTCGAAAATAGATAATATATCGCCCATTCGAAAGGTATCTCAAAGCCCATTTAATGCGAATATAAACAATGTCTCACTCGTGTTAAAGATAATTCCAATGCACAAATAATTCTGCTAGCTTTCTTATCAAGTGCCTAGGAATCGGGAATTGGTTCTGTAAACAAACGAAATATTCATAAAAATGAATCGCCCGACTAGCAGATACCCTGTGTTTGGGTATATATAAGAGGATCGATATTGCAAATCTCAAGTCTCGACAAGTTGGATTCGGAATACTCGAACTATAGAAGGCAACAAATGGTTATAGAAAACTGTGCCCGACTAGCAGATACCCTGTGTTTGATTATATATAAGAGATTAGATATTGCAAATATCAAGTCTCGACAAGTTGGACTTGGAATACTCGTATCTATAGAAGGCAACAAATGGTTATAGAAAACTGTGCCCGACTAGCAGATACCCTGTGTTTGGGTATACATAAGAGATTAGATATTGGAAATCTCAAGCTTCGACAAGTTGGACTTGAAATGGATCTCGAACTATTGCAGACAGCAAATGGTTAATGAAAACTGTGCCCGACTAGGAGATACCCTGTGTTGGGGTATATAAGTATAAGAGAAAAGCTAACGCAAATCTAAGGTCTCGTTGGATTGGAATCGAATTCGGAATACTATTCTAGGCATCTTCAATGGATCTCGAACTGATTCAAGTCAGCCGCAATATAAAAACTAATAAACAAACTGAGCCAAGTTTCATTCAAATGGAAAACTTTTCCGTTTACAGCACAGCCCAGTCCAGTCCAGCGACCAATTACCAGACCGGAATATCTAGTCGCATGACAAATGCGAATTTGTTTATAATGCCTTTCTGTTTGTTTTCATTAGATTGGCAAAACAGGAGCTCAAGTAGCCCGCGGCCCCGCCATGAGACAGCGCTCTTATCTGATATCAGTCGCAATGTCGCCAGCTGTTGGCCCAACAACAAAATCTACTTATATCTATATAAATCTGTATATATATATATGTAAAAAGAGTGCAGGGAAAAACAAAGGTTTCTTCGGATGTGTCACACAGGCGGGCGAACACGTTCCAGTCCGGTGTCTGGCACCAACGAAGAGCACTTGCCACCTCCTCCGCATTCTTCTCTGCTCGACTCTTAGTTCGGTCTTTGTTTTCTCTTTCGCTTAACTCGAGATATGCTGAAAGTTCTATATCTTATAGATATAGATGTATGTTCTACAAGCTGCGCTTCTCTCTTCAGCCGTTCAGTCTCTCACTATGGACAAACTATCTTGAGTAACTTGGGTTCTCATAGTCCGAACTTTAGGAAATTTTCAGATCTTCAAGTTGGCATACAAACGTGTGTATATACCAAAGCGCAAGACTCTAGCCCCAAAAACTCGTTACTTTGCCTGCTTTGAGAAAATGCTGAAGTAATTCAAAATTGTGAAAAATTTGTAAGATGTTCAAGTCAAAAATGAACACACAAAGTTTGCTGCAGCTAGCTTCTATAATTCTCGAGCTATGCTCAAAAAACGATTTGCCAAAATCGATATTTATCGATATTTGGCAAATAAATGAAGTTATCGATAACAGATAACTGATCAACTGGCTGCTGCCAGAGGACAAAATCCTTTCGATCAGTAATATATATACATATACATATATATACTGCATGCATGCATACCCTGTTTCCCCACATTCAATGGGTATTTCGTTGTTACTGTAATTTGTTTTTTATTTGTAAACGTTTCTCATAATAATAGATTACAATATTACAATTGTTTTTGTTATATTACATACTTTTATGCTTAATGAATAGGTTTTGCATTTTGCTTTCGAATTATGCATAATTTTCTTATAATTTTTTGTTATTGATCTTGTTTTTGGCGTTTTGGCCTTTCTGCGCCTGGCAAAACGTCATCAGTTCGCAAAAAACAGCGCCAAAAAAAAAAGAACGTAATTAGAAAAAAAAGAAAAACAAAAAATGTTGCGCACATTTTTCGCAATTGTTTAACATTCGACAGAAAAATGAATAATATATATATATGTACATATATATATATATTTAATTGTTGCATGTTCTTTTACTTTTTTTTTTTTTTTTAATTCTTTTTCTTAATATGTTTTGTTTGCGTTTTGTTATTTTGTTGCTATCTCGCATGAACGTAGAATTTGTGCTCGTCTTTCAATTCTCGAATTAAACGCCAAGCAAAAATTGTCATCAAATGTGTGTGTGAGTGTGTGTGTCGGTGTGTGTGTGTGTGTGTGTATTGTAATTGTGCACCTGATTTATTAGACGCTGCAGCCGTCTGAGACGTCGCCGCGACATTTGCCTCTGGCGACACCTTCAATTTTATATATATATATTAAATATGCATTATTATTATTTTTTTTTTTGTTGTTGCAAGAAAAACACATTTTCCGCGCTTCAAATTTGTTGTGTTAGCTAATAAAACTAATTGTGTGCAAGTGTGTGTGTTGTGTGTGTGTGTGGCAGCTGTGTGCTTACAATACGATATATACTATATATATATATATCTGCGTGTGTGTGTGGGTGTGTGTGTAACGATGCACTGCAGCTCGGGGTCTGGACTCTGATAACAGACCCAACTAAAGCATTGATAACAAACAATATATATATATATATGCGCGTATATATATACATATACATATACACGTGGTGTGTGTGTGTGTTGTGTCTGTGCTCGCAGGATATTAATCTGTGTGTGTGTGTGTGTGTGTGTGTGTGTGTGTGTGTGTGTGTGTGTGTGTGTGTGTGTAACATTAAATTCTATATACATAATTATAGCTGCTCGCTCGCTCGCTCGCACGTGCTTTCTAATGCCCTCTCTGTCGCTCTCGCGCTTGCACTTGTTATAAAAATAAACTACATATATATATATATATATATATATGTATATGAATGCATGTATATATACACATGTATATATATATGCGTATCTAATCCTGGTTAGCTCGTCCTGCAAAGCCGCCAGTGCCATATTTCCTTTCCTTTCCTTTCCTTTCCTTGCCGCTCTTCTATTCGATTCGTTTGCTTGTGCCCTGGCCCTGGCCCTGGGCCGCCGTCATTTGGCCCAGCGGCTGCGTGACCTAGTCGGCCAATGTGTTTGGCTTGCTGCCGCTCTGCTTCTCCTTGTCGCGCTCGGCGCGCTGCTCCGGCGCCAGCATATTGCCGGCGCCCTGCTGCTGATTCTGGTGTGTCTTCTGCTTCAGCATTGTCCAGTCATAGATATAATCGTACTGATGGTTCAGCGTGCGGAACAGAATGCTGAAAGCAAATAAACGTAGCTTATAAATACGTATTATGGTGTATTGTCCGGCGCAGCCTGGACTTTGTTCTTCCACCCATATTCCGAACAGTGAAAGATTTCAATCTAACCAATCTTCACATCTCATATAAAATGAAAGTCCATTGAAATATGTTGAAATATTTGTAATCAACGTTTTGCGCCCGCTTGAAGCCGATCGACTGGCAAGCAAAACGGTTTAAACAAACGTTTTTCGCCCATTTCCCACAGCTGCAGGTGGAACTGTCCAAATCGCTCAGACATACGCTATTTATGTTGAGATTGGAAAAGAAGCTTGAGACTGAACGGACAAAATGTTTAGCTTCGAACTTAAAATCACCCATTTTCCACCTATTTTCGAAACACGTGAATCTGAGTATCTGAGAAAATGAAAATTTGGGGCCCATCGGAGGCTAAGCCGAAAAGCAGCATTCTGCAATCGTCTTTGTGATTTTTTCACACTTGCGGCTGGAATTGGCACGAGAAAACAGGAGTTAGCAGTCGGATTGTGCAGGCGGACAACTTACCGGAACAGCTGGCGCAAGTACATGTAGTCGGGCGCCTCCTCGAAGCGCAAACTGCGGCAGTAGTTCAAGTACATGGAGAACTCGGCCGGATAGCCTTTGCAGAGCACCTCGATGGGCGTGGACATTTTCTTCTCGGAGATTTTCTCATATTTCTGCTTCTTGTTGGTCGCCTTCATGCCCTGCCAGGGCAGGACGCCGCGATTGAAATACATCATCACATAGCCCAGGGACTCCATGTCGTCGCGACGGGACTGCTCGATGCCGACATGGGCATTGATCGAGGCATAGCGTGCGGTGCCCGTCAAGTTCTTCTCCTCGCGGTAGGGTATATGCATGCGTCTGTGCGGATCACGATACTTCTTGGCCAGCCCGAAGTCAATGAGGAACAGCTTATTGCAGTGCCGCCCGATGCCCATGAGAAAGTTGTCAGGCTTAATATCACGATGAATAAAGCACTTCATGTGGACATATTCCAGGCGGCCGATCATCTGATCGACCAGCATCAGCACGGTCTTGATGGTAAAGTGGCGCGTGCAAAAGTTGAACAGATCCTCGAGCGAGGGACCCAACAGATCCATGACCAATATATTGAAGTTCTTCTCATTGCCATAGTAGCGTATACGGGGTATGCCCACACCTCCACTCAGCACGCGATAGAGCTTGTACTCGTAGAGTAGCTGAGGATGGCGTGCATTGGTTGCCTCCATTTTGATGGCCACCTCCTCGCCGCACTGCATGCTCATGCCCAGGTAGATGTCGCCGAAGGAGCCGCTGCCTGCACGAGGTCAAAACAAAGTCACATTTTAATTTTGATAAGCAAAACAAATCCTAAACGCAAATCCTTGAGCTGCGGCCCTGGCAAACTGCGCCATAGGAGCGTCAGGTGCGTGGTAGGCCCTGGTTTATTAGGCGTTAGACGCTCGCCACTTACCAATTTTGCGTATTATTCTGTATTTCTCGCCCACGATTATCTCGGAACGGTGGTTCGTCATCTTGATGAGTTTGTCCATTGCGACGTTCGGTCGAGGTGGGGGCACGGCTGGCAGTATCGGATTTGTGAAAATATAAACAACAACTGTCTGTGTAGAGCGCGCGCGTGTTAGCTATTTGTACACACTGGCCGTATAGTTTGTGGTCGCAGTGTGCCTTGCCTGCTGCGAGCTGTTGAATACGTCTGTGGCCCTTTTTCCTATCTGTCGAAATCTTTAAAAATTTCTTTGGACAAGAGCAGTGTTAGTGATGGGAGCTGTCCGACAATAACAGACGGGCACAAACAGCTGTTATCGGCGTGTTATCGCACAATGAATTTGCATATGCAACGGCTGAATCATCGGCTAGCCAAGTATCGATAGGATAATTTCTCCCTTAACCAGTGAGGAACGCCCAAATGTAGTTTTCTGGTAGCGAAGATTAACTAAATTTTTTGTTTTTTTTTATAGAATCACTTAAAAAGTTGTCGATAACAAAGGGGGGAAGAATTATTGCCGAATGTCGTGCATCAACGACAATGCTTACGATAAATATCCAATAGTTTGGAACTATCGCTATCGCTTAGAGATGAACAAATTTGAGCTGCTAGCTATCGATGGAGATTCTTTACAAATATCGAACTTTTTTTTGGCGCAGGCCATATATATATTTAAAATGTATACGAGCAGAAAACTGCTCGCAACAAAATCCAACCATCCAGGGTGGAAACTGTTGGTTAAATAAGTTTTGAGCGTAGTTTTAATTTTTGGGTCAGTAGATGCCCATCTCTAACGGGCAAATTTCAGCTCCTTTGTCGGAAATGGAATCCATGTAAAAAAAAAAACTTATTGGAATAGACACAATCCCCAACTCATTTGGACGTTATTTGCCTAGGTTAACTAAAGTGAAGAAATACTGCTTTATAATGAAACGAGAATTTACGAAATTCACTTTTACAAAGTGTGCACCATTTTCTGCGTATTTACCTAAAGTAATGTAAATTAACACGATCAATTTAACATAGATAACGTAAACGTCAGCTAAGAAACGCAAGCGCAAAAGTGAGCAACGCAAAATGCGCAACGATAATGTTAGAATTGATCGATATATCATCCCTGGTAAAACACATATAAGATACATTTTTTTTGTCCGCAGTAGATTTTTTTTTTTGGTGTAAAATAATTTTCAAAGATTTATTGTGCATATATTAATGTCAACAAAACAAGTATACGTAAGCGAACGTTGTAATCATTAAACAAGTGTGCAATTATGAAGCTTAAACAGAATTTTTAAACAAAATTGGCTAAAACGAAAAAAGTGTTTTCTACAATGAAAAAAGTGGCGACTTTTTGCTGCTGCTGCGTATGAAAAGAAGAGGAAGCAGTACATTGAAATACCGAGTGCTCTCCGTTATACGCCAAAAATATTTATAGCAAGTGCATTTGTTTTTTTTTTTTTAATTTAATTGCAGCTGGCGGGAAAAAACATAAAAAGAGAAAAACGCAAAATACCTTAACGTAATTTAAAGCGTTAAGTGGCGTACAGTGTAAGTTAACAAATTATTTATATTTATATACAATACTGCAGCAAAGAATTATAAAAAGCGTCTATGATTTGCAAGAACTCTGTACGTGTGTCAGTGTGTGTGTGTGCATGTATGCTTTGTTGTTTTTATTTTTGCAAGCCTGTAACGCGCTTTGTCCGTATGGATGTGTGTGTGTGTGCGTGCGTGCGTGTGCATGTGCATATTCCGGCCCTGAAGGTCAGCGCTGCTTTCTCCCGCTGTTTTTGGCTACTGTGCAGACATAATTACGGTTATCTTTCATTTTTATGGCCCCGGCCACTTGAACAAAAAGTAATTAACTTAAAGATGTGAATGCACTCAAATATGCACCGTTGTTGTGGTTGTTTGCTGCGCAGGTACCTTACACTCGCCCGTGCCCCTGGCGTGTGTCAGCCGCCCGCTGACCATCTCAACCACCCATACCCATGCACACGCACGCACGCTGCAGAGCTGCATGCGGCATTTATCAGTGCAATATCGAAGCTCTTGCATGATGCAGCGTTGCCAATTTAGCTATTTCTTTTTGTAGTTAACAGAGCTGAGATTCAGCTTACATTAAAGTGGATTTTGAATTTTGAAATGATAGTTGGCAACACTGCAGGAATAACACTTTCCAGTTGTTTGATAAGTTGTTTTATTTAAAAGGAACACCTTCCAATTAGTCGCAAATAAGCAACAGCTCTTAAATGATTTAATTATAATTTGTGAGCGATTACTTTTATCATGGTATGTTACAAAATATATATTTGTATATGTTATACGTGCTAAGCAAATTGTCTAAAGTGTTCCTTGATTTTTGCTTATCACGTAAAACTCTTCTCAGGGAGCTGCATACTAAGCTGCATCGTCTATCGATGCCAACTGCGCACAATACAATTATCGATCCTTTTGGGTAACAACAGGCTGCAGTCGTCAGTTGGCGACGCGTTGCCGTTGCGTGAGGATGTCTGTGTGCGCATAAAATACCAATTAAAATACCAGAATAAAAATACAAGAAAACTTTATTAAATACTGTGCGATTGGCGTGAAATCCTTTATCTGTTGATATATATAATTTTTTTGCCTGTTGCAATACATCCCAACCAGCCCAAGTTGGATGCGCATTTCTTGATTGTTGTTTTTCATATTGTTATTGCAGTGCGTGAGCTGTGAGTTTTGTTGTTATTGTTGTTGTGGCTGTTGCCACTGCACTGAGATAGACAGAGACAACAACACGATATGGAGGATCGCATGATGGCCCACACTGGCGGCATGATGGCGCCCCAGGGCTACGGCCTGCCCGGCCAGGATGATGGCCAAAATGCTGGCAATGAGAACGAGGTGCGCAAGCAAAAGGACATTGGCGAAATACTGCAACAGATCATGAGCATTTCGGAGCAATCCCTGGACGAGGCCCAGGCCAGAAAGCACACACTCAACTGTCATCGCATGAAGCCGGCGCTGTTCTCCGTTCTATGCGAGATCAAGGAGAAAACCGGTAAGTTCCAGCTAGAAACTGAAATAATAATAAGAAGAACCAATTTCGGCACGTCGAAACTTAAATACCCTTCAAGGCCTATTCGTGTATAGCTCTAGCATCCTGAAAGATGAGGCTTTTGTAAAACTGGAAGGAGAAAGAATTCAGTCAACATTCAATAGGGGTATTCCCGTTTCAAGTTCTTTAAATCCCTGCATATTGCGCGCGGACGCGTTTACACTTTATTATTATGCCGGCACGCATCCTGTAGAGAATTTCAAATCGAGTTTTCTTTTATATCATTTTCATTTTCTTCCGTTTTTTCTACACTTTTCTTTTATATTACGCCCACGCAGCGACACGAAATGGGCAATAACAGCGTGTTTTGATTGTGGCCCAGATGTTTTAAATGGCTTCGACGCTGTCATTGCCTTATTTCCTCTCATCCTTACCCCTGCTGCCCGCCTCAGCTACATGAAACCACCCACTTATTGAACCCCCCACCTTAAAGGAAAACCCCTGAAATGCTTACCGCTGTGCGATGGCCCTTTTTGGGCAATGAAAGCGATGAAACACACTTGCCTCGCCTTGAACGTGTTTACCCAATGCCGTTTCTTTCGAAACTTCACTATGGGGTAGGTTCAGGAACATGTGCATATTGTCTCTTCTATTGTATAAGCTCTGTTTTCCATTGGAAGGTTTCTTAGTTTACCATAAGATTCATCAGGATAATGCCAGAGATTGAGAAAGAGAGAGCTAGAGATGGAAATTAAGATAGAGATGGGGATAGAGAGAAATAGAGTGATAGAGAGAGATATAGAGAAAGAGAGAGTGATAGAAAGATATCTATAGATATAGAAAGATATAGAGAGAAATATATATTCCTCTCTCTCTCTCTATCTTTCTATTTCCATCTCTATCTTAATGTCTCCCCATATAGGGAGAGAAAGAGATAGTTAGATCACCTAGAGAGTGGATATATTTATAATGTGGCCTATTATGCCCGCCTTTGCTTAACTACAGGGTATACAAATATGTTTTCAAGTTGGTTTGTTTTTTTCGTTAATGTTATTGCCTGATGATACTTGAGAAAGTAATTTCTTGCTTTTATTATTTGTGTTTCGTTCAGGTGACTAACACAGCAGACACGTTTGCTAGGGGCGCAGGGGGTTTGGGTGGGAGGGGCGAGGGTCTATTGGCATTACGAACTATTTAATGCGACCCTAGATTCCGGCCAATTGCCAGAGAGCCGTTGCACAAGGCGAACTAAAGCCACTTGAGGCATATGAAAATATATATATATATATATATTGGCATTAATTTTATATTTTATCTAGAGCCTGTTTGAGTCCATTGTATCGCAGGCAGGCGCCGACACATTAAATACGCATACAACTGTTCAGGAATGATGACGGGTGGGGTCGTAATGCATGGTAGAAGGTTTGATGTGTATAGGTGTAAGGGGTGTAAGGACTGAGTTTGCAGTGTTGGCAAAGATTTGTTTGCAGATTTTAGAGTTGAACAACATCGTTTTATTACCATACCTAATTTTTTATCTTTTGTTCTTCTTGTTCTTGAGCACAAAAACTAAATAGGAAGCTCCCAAGTTTCCCATATTCAATTTCATTGCCCAAGTTTCTGCTCTTCGTTTCTTGGCCCTACATCTTTACTTATCTGAGTTCGGTGCGTTTGCCTTTTCGTTCTACACACAATTTCGCTTTGACTTTTTTTCAACTACCCCTTCCTCACGCTTGCTTTGAGCTTAAAGCTTTCATTAACATTAAGCTTGTTAATATCTTAAAGTTCGCCTAAAGTTATAACCCTTTACTCGCTTTCAAGCTTCCCTGAAGCTCTTAAACTTTGCTTAATCTCGCATAAACCTTAAAGCTTCTCCGAAGCTCTAACTCGAATCTAAAGCTCAATTAAATCTTAAAGCTTCCCTGGAGCTTTAAACCTTCACCCGCTTAAGTCTTGAAGCTCCTTTGAAGCTCTTAACCTTGTTTAAGCTCGTTTAAATCTTATATATCCTCTGAAGCTCTTAAGCTTTACTTAAACTCGCTTAAATCTTAAAGCTCCTGTGAAGCTTTAAATCTGCACTTGCTTAAATCTTTAAGCTAACCTGAGGCTCTCACCCCTTTGTTAGCCTGAGAAAGCTGTGCTTAAGGCATCTTCCTTACAGCTGCTAATTTCAATCAAAACTTTAATTTAAAGCTTGTAAGAATTTACGCAGTCTGAAATTGAAGTCTATTTAATTCAAGTCGCTGAGAGGGTAACAACTTGCATTTCGGCCAAGCTGTGGGATGGGTGTGTATAGTGTATAGAGAGGGGGCGGAGTTGGTTGGTTGGTTGGTTTTCAGGGCTTGTCTTGTGCTGATGCTTATCCCGTGCCGGGCAATTGTTTTCGCTGGCATAATACATAGAAGAGGAAGAACAACGAATATGCCCCTCGCACAATTCCCCCAGATATTGTTCGGGACACTCTGGCAATGCTGATGAGCAGAAGAAAAAGCAGAAGCAGAGACTTTCAGGGGAAGGGGTGAAGTAGGAGACAATTGTTGGCATTTGCGAAATGCTTCTGGCTGGCTTTGGCGAACGCGATTTCGATTCAAGCAAAAATCTAATTCATGCATAGCCAGAACGAAAAGAACAACACGCATTTCCCTAGACAATATGGCAACCCGGTCGAGAAAACTATGCGCTTGTTTTTGTTATCCTTTTGCGAGTTTGACGCAAAATAAAATTGGATACGTACTTTTCCCTCAGCCCGTTAAGCTTTGTCAGCACAGAGACAATGCAATAAGCCCGGATGGGGCAACGCTTGGCGGGGTGGCAACGCTTGGTGGGGTGGCAACGCCGACGCCATTTTGTAATTTTTGCTTTGCTGATTGTATTTTGTGTTCAATTTCGCTTTTTGCAGTGCTTTCCATTCGCAACACGCAGGAGGAGGAGCCGCCAGATCCGCAACTGATGCGTCTGGATAACATGCTCATTGCCGAGGGCGTGGCCGGCCCCGAAAAGGGCGGCGGCGGTGCCGCAGCCGCCTCGGCAGCGGCCGCCAGCCAAGGCGGCTCGCTCTCCATCGATGGGGCGGACAATGCCATCGAGCATTCGGATTATCGCGCCAAGCTGGCGCAGATTCGACAGATCTATCACCAGGAGCTAGAGAAATACGAGCAGGCCTGCAATGAGTTTACCACGCATGTCATGAATCTGCTGCGCGAGCAAAGTCGCACCAGGTAAGAGAGAGAGAGAGAGAGAGAGAGACTGAAAGAGTTGCCAGATGTGCAATTGAAAGTTATCGAAAGATGTGCAAAACTTAACGAATGTTGGCTTAACGCAAATGACAGCAGAGTATTATAATATATTCTTGAGCAGAAGATTGAGCTAAGACGATCTCGATGCTGGGTAAATGTGGAGAACGAGCCACCATTTAATATCGATAAATATCGATTTTTAATTTACAACATATTCTTGATCAGAAGAATAAAAGTCAATCTCGATATTGGGTAAAATATATATATGCAGAACAAGCCTTCGTTTATTATTGATAAATATCGATTTTAGTTATTTTGCGCATATTAAAATATATTCTTGTTCAGAAGTATTCGCCAAGCGATCTTAGGCTTCCTTTTGGACTATATATGCTCGAATACACGCTGACTTAATATTGATAAATATCGATTTATGTTATTTCGATAAATTTCTACAACAGCTGACAATATGGGCTGCGCTTGTGCGACTTATCGATATATCGATGCTTTAGGCACGGAGAATTAATATATATATTTTTGACGTTTTCCTACTTGCCGCAGACCCATCACACCCAAAGAAATCGAGCGCATGGTGCAGATAATCCACAAGAAATTCAGCTCGATTCAGATGCAGCTAAAGCAATCAACCTGCGAGGCGGTCATGATATTGCGTTCCAGATTCTTGGATGCGCGCCGGAAGCGTCGCAATTTCAGCAAACAGGCATCCGAAATACTCAACGAGTATTTTTACAGTCATTTGAGCAATCCGTATCCATCAGAAGAGGCCAAGGAGGAGCTGGCGCGCAAGTGCGGCATAACGGTAAGTATCGATAACATTAATCGATTAACTTAATCGATACTCAATACATTGACTATTGCAGGTGTCGCAGGTATCCAACTGGTTTGGCAACAAGCGCATTCGCTATAAGAAAAACATTGGCAAGGCCCAGGAGGAGGCCAACCTGTATGCAGCGAAAAAGGCGGCCGGCGCCTCGCCCTACTCCATGGCTGGGCCGCCCAGTGGCACAACCACGCCCATGATGTCGCCCGCACCGCCACAGGACTCGATGGGCTATCCCATGGGCTCCGCCGGCTACGATCAGCAGCCGCCCTACGATAACAACATGGGCGGCTATGATCCCAATTTGCATCAGGATCTTAGCCCTTGAGGATAGGCTGCCAAAAAATGCTACAAGTAGACAGTTTATTATGTTTTATTCCCCACCCCCCAATTTTTTTTGTTTTCTTCCTGTAATAACGAGTAAATGTGTGCACAAGAATGTGTATCGATAAATGTGTGTAAATGCAACCCTGCGCAACTTCTATGCGTGTGTGTCTGAGTGTGTGTCTGTGTGTGTGTAGCCTACAATCAATTATGTATACGATTATATCTTAATTATTAATAACGAACAAAATGTAACAAAATGCAACAAAAGAAACACACAGAACACAGCACACAGCTCTGTAAATTTGTTGCTTAAGCTAGAGCAACAAGAAAATAACACACACAAAAACATACGCATACTTGTGCATGCATAATATACACATACGCATGCACAGTGGGCCGCAGCCTATTTGTTGGCACGCATCATATCTAATATATTTAAAAGTCTAATCATTTTTGTAACCAAATCAACTCTTCGAACTGACATTATTCTCATTTCAATAATACAATTTAATCAGAAATTGATTAGACCTTAAGTATAGTATTTTTTTTTTGCGCACAGCAAATAGGACTTCGCCCACTGTGCAATGCATGCATACAGTATTGCCAATTCAGCTAATTTCTAGCTAAATTTGGCTATTTTCAGAGCTCCTATAGCCGAAAAGAGCTGAAATCTTAAAACGTTTTAGCCATTTGCTTTGGCTGTTTATTGCCAACGGCTAATTCAGCTGTTTTGGCTGCTTTTAGCTGCTTTTTTTTTTTCATAGCTACTTTTAACTTTGCGACAGTTGGCAACACTGTACATACATGCCGCATAATTCATTAATTGATAATAAATGAAAGCAAACGAGAAAAATGAACGTAAATTTCCTTTGAAACGAAAATTGTAATTTGCACAATTAATAAACAAATTGTATACCATAATTAAGTTTAAACAAAACGAATAGAAGAAACATGTATACGATGTAAATCAAATTTAATATAACAAGATTTTCCTGCCACTCCCAAAAGAATTCGAGAACTTGAGCAAGAAAATATTTGCCAAGCTGAAACAACAAAAAGAGAAAACATTTTCCAAGTTTTCATTATCATATTACGAACGGGAATAAAGAGGATTGAGACAAGAACAAGAAACACAAGAAAATTGATAATTGAAAAAGTTTCTCTCTGTATTTGACGGAGCAAGTTTTGTAATAACAAATAAAGTAAAGAAAACAAAAACTATTTCTAGCTGTTAAAAAAAAAAAAAAAAAACAGTTTATATATACGTAAATCTACATAACTATAAATATTTTAAAACAAATACAAAACAAACAAACAAACAATGCTATACTCTAATAATAATAATAAACAAAAAGCGAAGATTACTTGATTTCATTTATTATGGATTCCCTCTAAGCTAAGTTGTATAAGAATATATATTTTTAAGTATCTTAGGTAAAAATTCGTGAGCTTATATCAAAGATTTTTAATTTGTTTTTGTTTTGTTTTTCTTTCTTATAGGATATTTAATGCAAGCAAAAGTTGTCTGTGGAGCATAAATTGATGGACTGTATCATAGTTATGATAATGGGATTATATTTTATGATGGGATTATATTGTCTCTAGGACATCTGAATGGATAAAACAGGTTTGCTTTTTTAAGTTTCATTATTTCTATAAGTTTATATATGAAAGTTGATTTGAGCCGGCGACCTCTCGCTAGCTAGTACAACGCGCGAGACACCATGAAAGAAAAAGCTTAACCCTATGAAAATCGGATGAGATGTGACCGAGTTATGGGCTTGGGAAATTTTTACCTATCTCTAAATAGAATATTTGAGGGTACTATTTTGACATGAATTGCCCAATTTTAAATGGTTTCAGGCACGAATTCAACAAAAAGGCTGCACGCTTGCGCGCTGCAGCAATTTTATTTTTCTCATTTGAACATTTTTAAAATTGCGGGCCAAGCATCGATATTTTTAGCAGCGTGCCTATCGTCAAACGCTATCGATATATCGAGCTGCAATATCGATATATTCTAATGCAGCTGCTGCAAAAATATCGTTTAGCCTAGTTTCTCAACACTGTTTTATGCGGCGATTTTTTATTATTTTTTGTGCCGCCTTCATGATATCGATAACATTTTGAAAATGGCAGCTGAAATTTGAATCAAATGGCGTTTATTTGGATTAAAAGAATGTAATGCCTTTTAATCAATTGTCCAGCGTTTAATACAACATTTGATGGCTATTTAATGTTCTCCCATTTTAACCCTTATGCTGTCGCTTGGGTGAAGAAAAAACGTTAACCAAATTAGATTTATACAAATTTCGTTTATTACTGCCAAGTCTCGCAGACTAGACTAATTTAGCGTTACGTCTTACATAGTTAAATGCAATATATATAGAATTAGAGCTGGTCGTTAGCGATATGCTTGGAAGCCAGTGGCAGTTGAAATCAAACGAAATATGCCGCCAATTGTGCCATTTTATCCTTGGGCGGACGTCCGCCATGCCGTCCGCCGCGTGCATTGCCCGCGCCGCCGGGTCCGGCGGCAGCAGGGCCGCCGCCACGAGGCGCACCGCTGCGCACCTGTCGGGAGGCAACTGCTCGATGCTTTTCGACCAGATGGGCGAACTCCGTGGAGCAGAAAATGCAGCCGCTTTTCTCCTCGCTGCCATCCTTAAACTTGGACTTGTCCGATTTGTACACGACGTTCACCAGCTGAGCGCCACAGTCGCTGCACTTGCTCTCTATGGAGGTGGAGGAGCACAAGGATTAGCAATTCGGAAAAGTGATGTGTGCCAGAAGATTGGCGAAACTTACCTTCGACTGTGATTTTGGTGGCACCCTTGAAGCAATTGATGATCACATCGCAGCGATTGCAGCCCAGCTTCCAGGTGGGCGACAATGTGCTGTCCAGGACAAGCACGCCCGTCTCGCACTCCACACAGCCGGAGATGCCCAGCGTGTTGAGCGAGTGCGGGCAGGTGGGATGCGTACAGGAATTGCAGCCGCCAAACTTGGGCATATCCCTGAACGGCGGATGATTGTAGCAGTACGGGCAGAACGGAAACGAGCGACCCTTAACGCCCGTCGAGAACGCCAACAGGCCAAAGTCATCCAGCGGACACTTGAACTCTCGATACACCTTCACATTGCCATTGGGCAGCGTATAGTTCTCGTCGCAGTGCGAGCAGTACAGTCGAGCCGGCTTCGTCTGAAAGAGACAGCAATACATAAAGACGATTAATCCGTGTAAAACACAAATTGCCAATTAACACAATTCGAATATGACTAGAAATTGCTATAAAGTCAACACAAAATCAGCCATAATCTATATACATCATCTACATCCACGTCTACAATCCATATCCAGGTCTACTTCCATATCCAAGTCTTAATCTACAATTGAAACTACATCCATATCCAAATCTTTATCAACATTTACATCGAAGTCCACATCTACACATAAATCTACATCTACATCTACATCTTCAGCTACATCTACATCTACTTCCATATTCAAGTCTTAATCCCTCCTATCTATTCTACATCCAACGTACATCTACTTCTAAATCTACTTCCTTATTCAAGTCGACATCTTAATCCAAGTCTACATCTACATCGAAATCTACATCCATATCCATTCTACTTCTACATCTTAGTCTTCATCCACATCCAAGTCTACATCTACATCCATATATATTCTACATCTACAATTTAATCTACATCCTACAATGTACATCCACATCTCAATCTACATTCACATCCATGTCTACATCTCCATCTCCATCTCCATCTCCATCTATATATCCTCAACTTTCTCATCCGTATCGCACCTGTATATACTTCATGTAACGGCGACATTTACCGCAGCGGGAATGCGCCTTGCCGGACTCGGCCAGCGGCGAGAAGGAAGACTCGAAAAGCATGTCCATGCTGGCGATGTTCTGTACGAAGAACATGAATTTCAGCTTAAAGATTTTGATGGCATGCCGCAGGACATCATTGAAATCGGCGGAGCCCTTGGCAATGAGTGTGAGCATGCGCTCCACCTCGGAGCGCATGGTGGGCAGCACCAGTTCCGGATCGATTTTCTGATAGCCATGCACCAGTACAATGCCCAGCGTGGTGGGTATCAGTTTGCGTCCGGTCTCGATGCGCACATAGTTGCGCTGGCAGATGTTATTGATGTGCACCGGTATCGAGGCATCTGTGCCGATGCCGTGCTGTTCCATCAGCGTGATCAGCTCCGCTTCGGTTAGATAATCGGGCGGTCCGGTTTGGCTCTCGGCTAGGCGCACATCATTGATGGCCACCTGGCTGCCCTGGACAAAGGGCGGCATCGCCTCATCCTTGCCGAAGGCCTGCCACGTCATCACCTTGGTGAAGCCCGCGTCCAGCAGCACGTTCGCCGTGCACGTAAAGCACTCGAGACCGACGCGCAGCTTGGCCGTTGTGGTGCGATACTTTAGATCGCGCGATATGGTGCCCATGAAGTGGCGGCAAATGAACTCGTATACGCGCCAGGTGTCCCGATCAAAGTCGCCGCGATGGCCCAGCTTCATGGGCGTTATGGGCGGATGATCGCCGGCATCCTTGCCCTTGCGCGGCGTCTGAAAATCGCCAGCAATGGCGCGCGCCTCATCCCCAAAATCGCCCGATGGCTGCAGTACGCGCAGCACCGCATGCAAATCAAAGTTCTCCGGATACTGATTGGTCTCCGTGCGCGGATAGCTGATATAGCCCTGCGTATAGAGACGTTCGGCGATTTGCATTGCCTGAAACGGGCCAATGCCCAAACCGGAGCTGCAGATACGCATCAGCTCGACCGTGTTCAAGGCCTGCGGCTTGCTCTTGAACGACTCCTTGCTGCTGACGCTCTCCACGCTGAAAGAGATGGAGAGATGAGCATGAAAGAGATCTGTGCAGGAGAAGTAGCCGCACTTACGTGGCCTCCTTGTGCTCCTTGACGCGATTCAGCAGCATGATGGCAATGTCCTTTTTGAAGACACGCCCACGCGCCCATTCGAGCGTATATTCCGGCTGGCCGGCCATCAGCTGGAGATACCAGAACGTCTCCGGCTTGAAGGTCTGTATATCATCGTGCCGCTTCACACAGAAGCCGAGAGTCGGCGTCTGGCAGGGGCCGTACGAGATGAGGGATGAGTCAAGATCGCCGTAACGGCCCTGGAAGAATTTCGTTTGGAAGCGCGTAAAGGCACAGCCGATGCGCAAATCTAGCTCCTGGCGTGCATCGACAGACTTGGCCTCGTTCTCATTGGGATGTCCCAACGTTTCCATTGCGCCCTTGATGTCCTTGTCCGTGATGGCCGAGAAGTGCGCCCGATATGTCACATTGCGGCTATAAACATTGTGTATAACATGCTGCACTGCGTCCATCACCTCAAAGCAAATGTTCTCGCCCTCCTTGTCGCAATCGAGCCACAGCACAAGATAATCGCAGCCGCGTGCCTCGTGCGCAAGAAACGAACGCATCTGCTGCTTGGGATTGCATTCCTTTTTCTCTGTTGTGCAGCCAAATAGCTCCACCGGATCCACCTTGTCCCATGAGGTATATTTGCTGGTAAAGTCCAGCGACATCACATGACCGCACACGGATGTCATACGAAAGTGAACGCTGCCCTCGTTCCGGAAGTGACCGGTCCACTCATGCGTGGAGCAGCCGTTGTTGCCTGTCGAGGAATAATGCACATATGAGAGTGGATATTTAAGGGATTAGTCGCTAGATTAACTGTTGTTTCTTGGGCTAAACTTGCTCGCTTCTAACCTCGCTTTGCCGTGCAGCGTCCGTTGGAGAGTATGCCAGCCAGGGAGGCAGCCAGCGAGGGCTTCTCGGCCACCATCAGAACGTTCTTCATGGCCTAAATGTGTTGATGATGACACCGACTTCTCCTCTCTCTCTCTCTCTCGCTCTCGCTCGCTCGGTCGCTCTCTCTCTGCTTCTTCGCACGCACAATGGGAGATGATTCTTGTTTTTAGCGACACTTTCATAGATTAACCTACATGTGTGTGTGTGTGTGTGTGTGTGGAAGCTGCTGCTGCCGGTCTTTTTTTTCTGTACTGTTGCCTCTTATTTTTGTATTGCCACGCCTTATTGCAGTCAATTGCAATACGCTCTGAAACGGCGCGTTCAACTTAAATACACTCTTGATATTTTCAGTAAATAAATATAAAAATTCAGAATGTATTTGCAAAAAA